TAAGAATTTAATAAAATAATTCAACACTTGAATTTCTCATAACTAAATCAACTCTAAATATATTTTTAGAAATACGAAAACGAGCCCCAAATATTGGGGTGTCACTAAGTCATGAGCGTCTAAATCTATGAACTAAGAAATAAAACTGTCTAACTGTCAATACAATCCAAAAGAAGAAATGATAAAAGGAGTAACAAGGTCCTGCGGATGCTAGCAGCTACCTTGCAATCTTCACAGATAGCCGGCCTGAATTCAACGATCGTCGCGTTCTAACTCACCCGAATCTGCACATTAAGTGCAGGGTGTAGCATGAGTATAACCACCTCAACAAGTAACAGAAATAACTAAGGAACTGAGCAATAATGACGAGCTAAGTAAAACAATCCAATTATTTATTTTCACAATTTAAAAATAAACAGGTAAATTCCATAACTCAGTAAATGCAGCAACAACACAAATAAATACAACCTCACAGCAGTGTCACTCCATTTCTCATCACTCGCCCTCAGCACTCAATACTCAAAACACTCAACACTCTGCGCTCACTGGGGTGTGTACAGACTCCGGAGGGGCTCCCAAAATCCAAGCGCTAAGCATGGACAACTCACTTACCATCATATCAATACCTGGATCCGCACGGTCAACTCACGTGCTACGCGGACAACTCACACGCTATGGTATCAATACCTGGACCCGCACGGTCAACTCACGCGCTATGGTATTAATATTCTTACAACTAGGCTCTCGGCCTCACTCAATCATGTACCTCGCTAGCCTCACCATCATCAACAAATAAGTGAACACAGCCATATCAAGTATCACAGCATAATAACAAATAATAGAGACTGAGGTAAATATGTACAATAATTTTTATGATTGAGTACAAATAATGTGAGCATGAATAAAGCCTAAGCATGATCTCTAACATGAAGACAGACAAGTCCAACAACAAGTAACTACGTAGAGACAGATGATAGCCATGAGGCCTCACGGGACGGACCAAGTCTCAATCCCTCGAGGTATACACCCACACGCCCGTCACCTAGCGTGGGTATTACCTCCAAACAGTCACACGATATCAAATTCTCCGGGTTTATACCCTCAAAGCCAGAGTTAAAACTGTTACTTACCTTAGCAGCGTAGAAATCCTACTCCTGGATGCCCTCGTCTCTGGACTCGATCTCCAAAAGCTCCAAATCTATTCATAATTAATTAAATATACTCAACACGAATCGTAGGAATTAATTCCATATGAGAATACAAATTTTCCAACAAAATCCAAAAATTAACTCAAAAATCGCCAGTGAGACCCATGTCTCGAAATCCAACGAAACTCACAAAATCCGATAACCCATTCAATTACGAGTTCACCTACACCAATTTTATCAAATTCCGATATCGGAATGACCTTCAAATCTTCATTTTATATTTTTGGAGGATTTTACAAAAAAAAAACTGATTTTTCTTCTAGAAATTCACGGATTCATGATGTAAATAAGTATGGAATCATGAAATAATCAATATAGGATAAGGAATACTTACCCCAATGTTTACCCGTGAAAATCGCCCAAACCGAGCTCCCCCACTATTTTTATGTCAAAAATGGCCAAAAACTCGTTTATAGAGCCTCTGGTATTTTCGAGCGTCACAGGTAGGGTGGGGCGCTGCTTGTGGCACTATTTCCAGTACCCTTAAATATCCCAGCGCCAGGGCTAGCGCCCCACGCTATCCTGGGCGCTCGCGGTGACGGAAAATCTCCTCCGATACAGAAATAGGCATAACTCTCTCATACGATGTCCGAATTCGACGATTCTTTTTTCTATGGCTCCAAAATTTCAATACGGATCTAATGCTTCAATGAAAACTGAATTTGGAGCTCATTTGATTAATAGGATATCACGTATTCTTGAAGAATCGATGTCGAAATATAACAAATCCAGTCCGATTGACCTCAAATTTTGCACATAAGTCAATTTCCGGTCCACTTTTCTAACTTAGATTTTTTTTTCATTATGAGACTAAGTGTCTCATTTCACTCCGAGTTTCTTTCAGACCCGAACCAACTAACCCGATAAGTCATAAATCAATTGCAAGACATAAATTGAGCAGTAAATGGGGGAACGGGGTTATAATATTCAAAACGACTGGCCGGATCATTACAATAATAGTTAGGAGATATCGACTTTTAAAGTATAATTGAATATAAATTCACACTTAAGTGAACTTAACTATCTCAACACTTTTCATTTTAACCAAGTATTAATTAACCACTGGACCAAGACTCAGTGAAGATATAAACTAAGAGAGTATATGAAGTTTGCGCTTTTATCTGTTCTTTCTTTCTTTAGGGTCCGAGCTAAGTTAAAAGGCTTATATATTAAGGACCCGTTTGGCCATAAATTTTGTCAAAATAAACTTGAGTTTTATTTGGCAAACACATGTTTGGCCATAGATTTTGCCTATATTTTGGCAAAATTCTAAATCCCAAAACCAGCTCAATAGCTGATTTTGGGCCAAAATATCATAATTATATTTTTTTAAAATGGAATTTTTTCATTCTTATACACTATTTGAAACTTTATTACGAAAAATGTCCATGTTTTGATATTTACCCGACCTACACAAGTTTTGTTTATAAAATATATACATTCCACCTTAAAAGACTACTAATTCATTAGTAGTGCCTTCAATCAAGGGATATAGTTAAAGCCTTTTTTTTTTCTTTTTTTTGTTCTCCTCTTTTTTTTCTTCTCTCCAGAATATTAGTATGGGATCTCTCATGCGGCTGCTTTGAACCCTTGGGATCCATGAACAGATTTGTCTAGTAATTTATATGCCCTCCTCTTGCCGACGAAAACACCTTGGCCGTGACTTTCTTAATTGCAAAAACGAGTAAAAGTAAAAGAAAAATCGAAGAAGGTATACAACAAGTGATTCAAATATTAATTAAATTCCACCGAATTTAAAACATACAAGCAACTGCTAAGTGGTAAGGAAGATATATGATCTATATCAGAAAGCAGTAGGAAATACATTGGAGAAAGGCTAATTAGGAAGGAACTTTATTTAATGATCGAGGATTAGATCTAATCGCTATCGCTGTCACTGCTGCTGTTGTCATGCTCATCGTGCTTCTTCTCCTTTTTGTCCTTCTTGTCCTTTTTCTTCTTCTTCTCCTCTCCCTCATTGTGATGGTGATCTCCGCCTTCTGTCCAGTTATATACAATTACAATATTATACCACTTAAATACAAATTTTATACAATATGTCTATTGCATATTTTGTATCTGATTTATATATAGTAAAAATAAATTTCACACAACTAATTATATATATTATACAACTTATCTACAACTTTCATACATTATTTCTACCAATTTATATATAACTACAATATTACACCACGTATATACAAATTTTATACAATATGTCTTTTGTATATTTTGTATTTTATACATCGTAAAAATAAATTTCATACAACTAATTATATATATTATACAACTTATCTACAACTTATCTACAACTTGTCTACAATTGTCATACATTATTTTTAGTTATATGCAACTACAATATCATACAACTTACATACAATATTGTTCAACTTTCATACAATAGTTAAAAAAATATATATATAAACAACAGAATATAATTTTTCTACAATTTTACTACAATTTCGTAAGTATAATGTATGTCATGTCTTCTTCTTCTTCTTCGACGAGTTTCAATCTGAAATTCAACGAAAATCAAGTCTGATCTTCACCAAAACACCCTCAAAATTGAGATATAAACTCCAAACCATATTACCAATTATTTGCAACAACGCCCAATCCAAACAAATAATGATTTTTGAAAACCCAAATTCGAATTCAAAGCTTCAAAACTTTTTAATGTCTATCAATGGTAGAATTGCTGCTCTCTTTTTCTTTACTTTACATTACTGGAATTATGGATTGAGAGATAGAGAGAGACGTAGAGATAATTCCCAATTATTTGCAGCAATACCCAATTCAAACAAATAATATTTTTTGAAAACCCAAATTCGAATTCAAAGCATCGAAGCTTTTTAATGCCGCCAATGGTGGAATTGTGCTCTTTTTTCTTTTGCTCTACATTACTGAAATTAGAAATTGAGAGATATAGAGAGACGTAGAGAGAGAGAGCGCATGAGAGAGAGAGACGGAGAGAGAGCGCATGAGGGAGAGAGAATAAGGATGAGAAATAATTGATTCATAATATAAAAGGGATACTCATTTAATTCCTAAAGTGTATATAATTGGTAAATTTGTATATAGGATGTAATTAAATTGAAACTTGAGTAGAGAGGGTAATAAAATTTCTAATAGTGTATAGGTATGTAAAAATTTCTTTAAAAATTGCTCCAAACTTTTGTATTTTATAAAAGAGCCCATCATTTATTATTTTATAACGATGTTGCTTCGTCTTCTCGGTCATCTGATAGTGTATCATGTAGTTCATTATAAAAATGATAATTTTATATCAAATTTATTTATGTTCAGGACTATGGTTTGCGATAACATAATGAATGTTATTGATAATGGTACTGTTGAGTATTTATGATAGTTTTTAGAACTTGTGGGTATAAGTCATGTTTCATGTTTTTCCAAACCAAACTTCACCCAAAACATATGTCCAAACGCATTTTTATTTTCAAACCAAACTTCACAGAAATCAGATTTTTTAGAATAAATTTGGGAATTTATGACCAAACGCTAGCTAAATGTTAGTAAAACTAAGCTAAAGTATCTTAACTTTCTTTCACTTTCTCCGAATAAAATATTTTATATCTATAAAAAATGGAGTTTCCATCATATTTTACAAACTTCTCTCGCTAACAGGTAATTGTTCAATAAATTGTGTAGTCTGTTCAATTAACTTAGCAAACAAAATATATTGGTATACCTCATGTTCAATTTACATGAATCAATTGGTTATATTAGAACAATTTCCCCTCATTTACATTCACACAACATAGTTCCAACTTCCAAAGTTACACTTTCCATATGCGTGTCGGACTCGGTATAGCACTTCTCTATAAATAGTTACCGTGTACTCCCTTCACATCCACTTTGAAAACCCGATCCCGACTCGCAACAGCCTGTGGAAGTCATTAGATTTCTTGTAATATCACTCATTCCCTTCGCCATTTCAGTACTTCACTCCAACTAATGAGGAAACCGCGAAATCTGTATACTTTCTAAAACCCTAAAAGGTTTGCTCTTTCAGTTAAACTACAATGGCGAAGAAATTCGTCAGAGACGACGTTCCACTGTCAAGATTTGGCGTATTGGTGGCGCAGTTGGAATCTATAGTGGCCTCAGCTGCTCACAAGTCTCCCGACCCTCTCCTCTGTTTTGATCTTCTCTCTGATCTCATCTCCGCCATTGATGAAGAATCCAAGGTCACTATATTTCTCACTCCGCTTTTATTTTTGTAAACTTCGCTAGATCTTGATCGACTTTCATTGTGAATTGTATCCAGTTATTTCAACATTGTCGCATTCATAGTAAAAGTCACTCTAATTCCATTAACGTATCCAAAAAAAGGAATTTCTATTGACTTTTCTTCACTTTTCTAGTCTCAGCTAACTAATCTTGACTTAAACTATATGCATTAAGGATTTTTTTAAAGATATGTATTTTTTATAAGTTCACATCCACTTTTTTTTTTTTGTTTTGTTGTTGTATTGGCTATTATTGATTGTATTGCATATCGAGGTTGGCAATTCTTGGAAGATGCTAAGCACTTGGGGCCTGTTTGGTTGGGTTGCTGCATTCTGTTATACTTGAAGAAGCATACTTTAATGTTTCCCTAGCCAATCAGTGTTGGTATCTAACAAGCATACTTTAATGTCTCCGCCTTTTCAAAGATGAAGTAAAACTAAATTTGAAAGGGCAGTAGTAGATGTTTTCCTGGATTATCATGTGTATCTGCTGCTCATTTTTCAAATAGCGATATGTTAAAGCATCAATCTACCAAGTAGGTACTGATCCATTGTTTCTTCGTGATATTTCTTGATATAACTATTTATATATCTTCTTTCTTATCAAAAATTTCTATCCTTCTTGGTTGTTGATCGGAGAAAGTATTAAAAAATGCCAAGATGGTGACTCCCCTGTAAAAGATATTGCAAAGAAAGGATTACATACAAAGGTTGCAATCTATATTAATGCATTGTTGACCAATTTGGGGGGAATGCGTTTCTTCTTGATTTGTAGGCAACTTTTGGGTAGTGTTTTTTCCCCGAATGTCCTTTACCATATCTATTGGATGTATACATTGGTCTAGTTCGAATACATTGTTTGATTAATCTCAAATTTTATTTGAATCATTTGTTCATCCAGTTTAACATGATTATTGATTCGTTTTTTCAGGGAGGTTAACATACATATTGTCTATCTTGGTTATGTTTTGATAAAAGTAAATTCAAACTATTAAGTAAAAATTTAGAAGTTCCCTGTTATAGTTTGGGCTGGATTCAATTTAACCAAAAGCATCTTGCTAATGACTGAATATTTAGCACCTCAGTGTGGGTACAAGAAGCTATTGGCTAAGTTGATTTTTTCAGAGCAGAGACTGATTAAAAGGCTGGTGCGGTAATTCTGAGATATTTCTATTGTTCCTCCACTGCATCACACGTCATTACATGAATTACTGTGTCCTCTACATAATATACAGAAGAGATTTTGATTTGCTAGCCAATTACTGTGTCCTCTACATAATATACAGAAGAGATTTTGATTTGCTAGCCAATTACTGTGTCCTCTACATAATATACAGAAGAGATTTTGATTTGCTAGCCAATTACTGTGTCCTCTACATAATATACAGAAGAGATTTTGATTTGCTAGCCTTTGGAGAATCTATCTGGAATCCCTTGATATATCCTTTTCTGACAGTAATTTTTAACATATTGCTCAAACCGCAAGGATGAAGAGGAAAGGAGATAACGGGTGTCATCGTCTCAACCCCTTTTGGGATGGAAAGAGAACTTTAGGAGATCCTTAAACTAGGATAGAGAAGCTGATGGTGGTGATGCAAAGCTTAATCCATTTAATTTACTTTTGTTCATTTGGGCGTATCATCCTTGACCATACTAATTAATTCACTTTTTTTAATAAGATAAGTAATTTTATTAATGTTGGGGAGATCCCCGTATACAAGAAGTATACCAAAAAGTAAAAATTAATAAATGCATTTTCCTACATTATACATATCCTTAGGACGTTCAAGATGCATTTATAGGTAAATGTTTTGCTGAAATTTTGATGACCAAAATTTTTCTGATGAGATTTGGTGTATCAAAACTTGTCGATGACTTTCCAGTGTGATTTCTGGTAAATGTTCCTGATACACTTTTCAAATGTTTTGGATACACTCTCGAGGTATATTAGCGATGACCATTCAATGTTTCGTATTCCAATTTAATGAAAGGCCATGTTTTTTTTTTTTTGACGAAGTAAGGAGAATTCATTAAAAGCATCCAGCGGATCCAGGCAAAAGATTACAATTAAGAGAGATGGTGTCTGCTCATGAAAGGCCGTCTTACAATGACACATCAACAAAAAAAGAGAGTCTGTGTCAGAATGTTGGAGTAACATGGTCTGTGAGGATTGCTATAGCTGACCCCAACTTGTTAGGGATTGAGGCATAGTTGTTGTTGTTGTATCTTCCATATTAGTCAACTACGCAGTCTCCAATTTCTTCTCTTATTTGTCCCACTTGTCTTTCTTTAGAACTCTTCTCTTCACATTCTTTCTAATGTTACTTGTTTTGAATTTGTGTTAACATAAAGGTGTAGAGTTTAATTTTCTCCAATTTTAACGAAGTGATTCAATCAATTTTAATATGTTTGGGTATGTAGTGAACTTTAAAAGTTGTAATCTTCCAACTTGTTAGAGTTTTGAATACCACGTTGTCAATTTATGACAGAAGGATCTAGTTGGATTGTGATCAACTTCAAAGAGTCTATTAATTTTTGTTTGTTTGACTAGCATGAACTTTTGTTGGAGCTATTTACTCTGATCCACTTGTTTTTTCTTTTCTTTATTATGTTAATGGATACCTAAAATTGTAAAATTTCAGGAATGTATACTGCTGTGGCAAAGGAAATGTGAGGATGCACTTTATTCTCTACTTGTGCTTGGCGCAAGGAAACCGGTGCGTCATTTGGCCTCAGTGGCAATGGCAAGGATTATACAAAAGGGTGACAGTATTTCAATATACTCTAGGGCTAGCAGTTTGCAGGGATTTCTTTCCGATGGAAAGAAAAGTGAACCTCAGCGAATTGCAGGTGTGTCAAGAACGACTAAAACTTTGAGTTCTGTTGTATATTCTTTATTTCATTGATAATTGCACATAGAACTTGGGGGATCATTTATTACAGGATAAATTTCCTTTTCAGTTGTTATTATCTAGTGGTTGTAGCTTCATAGCATGGAATTGGTTTATCTAGAATTCTTTACCAATTTTGTTGAAGTTACCCAAATATGCCCAGTTATCTTGTGCTCAAGAACTCAAGCTTTATAAACTATTCAACAATCCAAGAACTACCTAATATGGGATTAAGTATCAAATTTTCTGTGGCTTTATTTTCAGGTTGCATCTTGTTTTCCTTATTATAATTGATATGTCCTAACCTATGCCTTGTGATGTTTTTTCTTGGTATGCATTACGGGTTTCTCTTGTGTATATGGGAGTTGCTATATTAAGTCGCTGTATTTTAGGTGCTGCTGAGTGCTTGGGAGAATTGTATCGCTATTTTGGTAGACGAATCACTTCAGGCTTACTTGAAACAACCACGATTGTCACAAAACTACTGAAGTTCAATGAGGTACTGTGATTTCATTATCATTCCACGTCTTTCCATATTACGTGTTCATGCATGACTCTCTTTGTTTAGGAATAAAAACTTGCTAGCTTATATTTGCAGTACAGTCTAGTCAACTTCCTCACAGAGTTGTGTGAGTCAGAATGGCGTTCTAATTAATGTTATTCTGTTGGTTGTTGTTAGTTTACAGCATGTATATAGTGTAGTATTGTCCCATATTGGTAGAAGAGTAGTATGTCCTTGTATAGTATAGCTATAAATAAGGACCTTTTGTATTGTATTGTTCATCTAATATCAATAACATATTTTCTCCCGTGCTTTCTCACATGGTATCAGAGCAATTGTGAGAGACTTATCGCTGTGCATAAATTCCAGCGATTCCGGGAAAGAGAAATCGCTGTGCATAAATTCCAGCAATTCCGGGAAAGAGAAATCAGTACTTTTTTAAGTCTGTTTTCTATCTGCTTCATTTCTGTCAGTGTTGTGCAAAATCCAACACTACCACAATAGTCGTCACTGTCCGGCGACCAAACCCCAGTGAAAAACTCCGGCAGCAGCCTCCTCACGCGCCTTCACACGCCACCAGAAGCTCACGCGCCGGCGCGTACGACCACTTTCGGCCATTTTTTGAAAATCTTTCTTCAGAACAGTTGGGTCGCCTGGTAATTCCGATCCTACCCTTACTGTTTTCATTTCATTCCGACAACTTTGAATTTTTTCCGGCAGCTACAGTACTATTCCGACAGCTACAGTACTATTCCGACAGCTACAGTAGATTCCGGCAGCTACAATATTTCAGTATTCTGTTTCTGTGTTTCCGTACACTGTTTCAGTGGATTACAGTTGATTTTTTCTCCTATTTGGTAATAATTTGCAACGATGTCTTTGGGATTTGATGCTTTTGGGTCTAGAAACATGAGCTCTGGAAGCTCTAGTGCTATTATTACCTCGGAACCTTTAATGGGAGGTTCAAACTACTTAGCCTGGGCTTCATCTGTCGAGTTATGGTGTAAAGGTCAAGGTGTTCAAGATCATCTAATCAAACAGTCTAACGATGGAGATGAAAAGGCAATAGCACTCTGGGCAAAAATCGATGCTCAGTTATGTAGCATCTTGTGGCGATCTATCGATTCCAAGTTGATGCCCTTGTTTCGTCCATTCCAGACATGTTATTTGGTTTGGGCAAAGGCACGCACCTTATACACTAATGACATATCTCGCTTCTATGATGTGATATCACGGATGACAAACTTAAAGAAGCAGGAATTGGATATGTCTACTTACTTGGGTCAAGTACAGGCAGTCATGGAGGAATTTGAGAAGTTGATGCCAGTTTCTGCTAGTGTGGAAAAACAACAAGAGCAGCGACAGAAGATGTTTCTCGTTCTTACCCTCGCTGGACTTCCTAATGATCTTGATTCAGTACGCGACCAGATTTTGGCTAGTCCGTCTGTCCCGACAGTTGATGAATTATTCTCTCGATTACTCCGCCTTGCTGCAGCACCAAGTCCACCAGTGATCTCATCACAGATACTTGATTCCTCTGTTCTTGCATCCCAGACAATGGATGTTCGGGCATCTCAAACTATGGAGCATAGACGAGGAGGAGGTCGTTTTGGAAGATCTAGACCCAAGTGTTCTTATTGTCACAAACTTGGACACACTCGTGAAATGTGCTATTCCTTACATGGTCGTCCACCCAAAAATGCTTACATTGCTCAGACCGAGACTCCAGGTAACCAAGGATTTTCTTTATCTAAAGAAGAATATAATGAGCTCCTTCAGTATCGAGCAAGTAAGCAGACATCTCCACAAGTAGCCTCAGTTGCTCAGACTGATACTTCTGTTACTGGTAATTCTTTTGCTTGTGTTTCCCAGTCTAGCACTCTTGGCCCATGGGTCATGGACTCAGGCGCTTCTGATCACATCTCTGGTAATATATCACTTTTGTCAAATATTGTATATTCACAGTCTCTTCCCACTGTTACTTTAGCCAATGGATGTCAAACTAAGGCAAAAGGAGTTGGACAAGCTAATCCCTTGTCTTCTATCACCCTAGATTCCGTTCTTTATGTCCCTGGCTGTCCTTTTAGTCTTGCATCTGTTAGTCGTTTGACTCGTGCCCTCCATTGTGGTATATATTTTATTGACGATTCTTTTATTATGCAGGACCGCAGTACGGGACAGACAATTGGTACAGGACGTGAATCAGAAGGCCTTTACTACCTTAACTCACTCAGTCCTTCCACAACATGTCTAGTTACAGATCCTCCAGATCTAATCCACAGACGTTTAGGACATCCGAGTTTATCCAAACTTCAGAAGATGGTGCCTAGTTTATCTAGTTTGTCTACATTAGATTGTGAGTCGTGTCAACTTGGGAAACATACCCGAGCCTCCTTTTCGCGTAGTGTTGAGAGTCATGCAGAGTCTGTCTTCTCCTTAGTTCATTCTGATATATGGGGTCCTAGTAGAGTCAGTTCATCCTTGGGATTTCGTTATTTTGTCAGTTTCATTGATGATTATTCAAGATGTACTTGGCTTTTCTTAATGAAAGATCGTTCTGAGTTATTTTCTATATTCCAGAGTTTCTGTGCTGAAATCAAAAACCAATTTGGTGTTTCTATTCGCATTTTTCGCAGTGATAATGCCTTAGAATATTTATCTTCTCAATTTCAGCAGTTTATGACTTCTCAGGGAATTATTCATCAGACATCTTGTCCTTATACCCCTCAGCAAAATGGGGTTGCTGAGAGAAAGAATAGGCACCTTATTGAGACTGCTCGCACACTTCTAATTGAATCTCGTGTTCCGTTGCGTTTTTGGGGCGATGCAGTTCTCACAGCTTGTTATTTGATTAATCGGATGCCTTCATCTCCCATCAAGAATCAGATTCCGCATTCAGTATTGTTTCCCCAGTCACCCTTATACTCTCTTCCACCTCGTGTTTTTGGGAGCACGTGTTTTGTTCATAACTTAGCCCCTGGGAAAGATAAGTTAGCTCCTCGTGCTCTCAAGTGTGTCTTCCTTGGTTATTCTCGTGTTCAGAAGGGATATCGTTGTTATTCTCCAGATCTTCGTAGGTACCTTATGTCAGCTGACGTCACATTTTTTGAGTCTAAACCTTTCTTTACCTCTGCTGACCACCATGATATATCTGAGGTCTTACCTATACCGACCTTTGAGGAGTTTACTATAGCTCCTCCTCCACCTTCGACCACAGAGGTTTCATCCATACCAACCGTTGAGGAGTCTAGTGTTGTTCCCCCTAGTTCCCCAGCCACAGGAACACCACTCTTGACTTATCATCGTCGTTTGCGTCTTCCATCAGGCCCAACTGGTTCTCGTCCTGCACCTGACCCTGCTCCTGCTGCGGACCCTGCTCCTAGTACACCGATTGCACTTCGGAAAGGTATACGGACCACACTTAACCCTAATCCTCATTATGTCGGTTTGAGCTATCATCGTCTGTCATCTCCCCATTATGCTTTTATATCTTCTTTGTCCTCGGTTTCCATCCCTAAGTCTACAGGTGAAGCGTTGTCTCATCCAGGATGGCGACAGGCTATGAGTGACGAGATGTCTGCTTTACATACAAGTGGTACTTGGGAGCTTGTTCCTCTTCCCTCAGGTAAATCTACTGTTGGTTGTCGTTGGGTTTATGCAGTCAAAGTTGGTCCCGATGGACAGATTGATCGACTTAAGGCCCGTCTTGTTGCCAAAGGATATACTCAGATATTTGGGCTCGATTACAGTGATACCTTCTCTCCCGTGGCTAAAGTGGCTTCAGTCCGCCTTTTTCTATCCATGGCTGCGGTTCGTCATTGGCCCCTCTATCAGCTGGACATTAAAAATGCCTTTCTTCACGGTGATCTTGAGGATGAGGTTTATATGGAGCAACCACCTGGTTTTGTTGCTCAGGGGGAGTCTCGTGGCCTTGTATGTCGCTTGCGTCGGTCACTTTATGGTCTAAAGCAGTCTCCTCGAGCCTGGTTTGGTAAGTTCAGCACGGTTATCCAGGAGTTTGGCATGACTCGTAGTGAAGCTGATCACTCTGTGTTTTATCGGCACTCTGCTTCAAGTCTCTGTATTTATCTGGTAGTCTATGTTGATGATATTGTTATTACTGGCAATGATCAGGATGGTATTACCAATCTGAAGCAGCATCTCTTCCAGCACTTCCAAACTAAGGATCTAGGCAGATTGAAGTACTTTCTAGGTATTGAGGTTGCCCAGTCTAGCTCAGGTATTGTTATTTCTCAAAGAAAATATGCTTTAGACATTCTTGAGGAGACGGGGATGATAGGTTGCAGACCTGTTGACACTCCGATGGATCCGAATTCTAAACTTATGCCAGGACAGGGGGAGCCGCTTAGCGATCCTGCAAGCTATAGGCGGCTGGTTGGAAAATTAAATTATCTCACAGTGACTAGACCCGACATTTCTTATCCTGTGAGTGTGGTAAGTCAGTTTATGAATTCTCCCTGTGATAGTCATTGGGATGCAGTTGTCCGCATTATTCGATATATAAAATCGGCTCCAGGCAAAGGGTTACTCTTTGAGGATCGAGGTCATGAGCAGATCATTGGATACTCAGATGCTGATTGGGCAGGATCACCTTCTGATAGACGTTCTACGTCTGGATATTGTGTTTTAGTAGGAGGAAATTTGGTGTCCTGGAAGAGCAAGAAACAGAATGTAGTTGCTCGGTCTAGTGCAGAAGCAGAATATCGAGCAATGGCTATGGCAACATGTGAGCTAGTCTGGACCAAACAATTGCTCAAGGAGTTGAAATTTGGTGAAATCAGTCGGATGGAACTTGTGTGCGATAATCAAGCTGCCCTTCATATTGCATCAAATCCGGTGTTCCATGAGAGAACTAAACACATTGAGATTGATTGTCACTTCGTCAGAGAAAAGATACTTTCAGGAGAGATTGCTACAAAGTTTGTGAGGTCGAATGATCAACTTGCAGATATTTTCACCAAGTCTCTCACTGGTCCTCGTATTGGTTATATATGTAACAAGCTCAGTACATATGATTTGTATGCACCTGCTTGAGGGGGAGTGTTAGTTTACAGCATGTATATAGTGTAGTATTGTCCCACATTGGTAGAAGAGTAGTATGTCCTTGTATAGTATAGCTATAAATAAGGACCTCTTGTATTGTATTGTTCATCCAATATCAATAACATATTTTCTCCCGTGCCTTCTCACAGTTGTGTTGCGTGACTTGGGTCCTTTGAGAGGGCTATTGGTGACATTGGGTTTTGAAATTGGTCTCTCCCTTAAAACAATTGGATGTTGGAGAAAAGTGGACCGCCGAGAGTTGTTTTTGATTAAGTGGAGTCTTTTGATAAATGCAGTCTCAACCAAATCATAACTTCCAATACAGAGTGTTAAGTACCAGAAAGTTAGTACACACTACATACTGTAATGGGCTTGAGACACGAGTAGATCAGAAATAATACAGAGGAAATGAGCTTCCTATAGTTTTCTGGAGGTGAAAGTGTGCATTTTGCGTAAAGAATGCACTACCTTGGCGCTATCCTTAATAAAATATTATTTTTTTGTTACTGATCCAAAAGATAAATATTCCTACCTGTTATTCAAAAAAAGAAAAAAGAAAAAGAGAGGGGGTGGGCACAGTGTGCCATTTTGGAGCTTATGCCCAATGTTACTGTGCAGAGGCCGTTGTTTTTGTCCTTGAACTTCACACCTGTTACTTGTGTTTTGTTCCCGGTTTCATTTTTCTGCTGCCGGTGCTCTCCTACCCATTTGAATGCATTTCCAAGATGGTGGAGGTGTGAGGAAGGAACAGTAGGCCCTTATGCCCTGAGTTAATAAAAAAAAGATGTTACTTTATAGATGCCTGTAATGTTTCCGGTTTCATTGCTGCCGGTGCTGTCTCCTACCCATTTGAATGCCTGTCCATGATGGTATTTTGTTCTTTGCTTCAGTTAAAGTTGGCAATCAAAAATCAACTATATTCAGGGGATTATAAAGTCCAAATAGTGTTGCAGATATTGCTATTTAAAGTTTTATTGTATTTGTCCTAACTGTTCTACTTTGGACTTGTATTCAAATTTAGAGTCTGTGGCTATAATTCCTTTGAAGCTTTAATAAATCCTTAGGTTATGGCTACGATGCAAATATTATATTTCGTTTATAGTGTCCAACTTAAGATTAGTTTTAGGACTCTAGTGAGTGGTGTGAACTTGTGGGAGATTGAGATGTAGGTATAACCTGTTATTTCATTCTTATAAATAGGCTGTCGTTATACTTGTCAAAAAAAAGGCTGGCCTTATGGGCATAGGGAGCTGAAAGGAGTTTGACTGATTTTATGGAGAACTCTCGGGTATTTAGACGATGTTAATGTACAAGCCGCTGTTTTGGTCCTTGAAGTTCACACCTACTACTTGCTTATAGTTCCCGGTTTCATTTTTCTGCTGCGGGTGCTCTTCTACCCATTTGAATGCATGTCCAAGATGGTGGAGGTGTGGGGAAGGAACAGTCGGCCATTATGGACCTTATGCCCTGAGTTAATAAAAGAGTTACTGTATAGGCTGTTGTTTTTGTCCCTTAACTTCGCACCTGTTACTTGCGTATTGTTCCCAGTTTCATTTTTCTGCTGCCAGTTCTTTCTCCTACCCATTTGAATGCTTGTTCAAGATGGTATTTTGTTCTTTGCTTCAGTTAAAGTTTTATTATATTTGTCTCAAGTTCTGCTTTGGCCTTGTCATCAAATTTAGAGTCTGGATAATTCCTTTGAAGCCTTAATAAATCCTCGGGTTATGGCTACGATGCTAATAGTATATTGCATTTATAATGTCCAACTTAAGCTTAGTTTTAAGTGAGTGGTGTGCAGTTGTGGGAGATTGAGATGTGGGTATAACCTGTCTTTCATTTTTTGTAAATAGGCTGTCAATATAAGCTAAGGGAGCTGAAAAGAGTTTGGTTGATTTTATGGAAAACTCTCGGGTATTTAGCTTTGGTGCATAATAGGTAGTTGTGTCTTTATTCTTTACTTTTTTAATCAGTTGATATTATCATAAGTTTTTTGAATAATCATTCCAGTGATGCATTATGGAATAAATAACTGAACCTCTGAAAGTTTGTCCATATAGCACAAATCTCCAAATCTTTTTCCTTCAAGCTCATGTTTAGCTTTCAAATGTTTATTTGACTTATGAAAAAGGCGGTTTAGCATTTCAAACTTGGTATTATCTTATATAACCACTTGTACATTCAGGACTTTGTTAGAGAAGAAGCTTTACAGATGCTTCAAAATGCTTTAGAAGGCTGTGGGGGCGCTGCTGCTGCCTCAGCATATACTGATGCATTTCGTATCATTATGCGAATCGGTATCGTGGACAAATCATCTATTGTTAGAGTAGCTGCAGCTAGATGTCTAAAAGCGTTTGCAAACATCGGAGGGCCGGGATTAGGGGTTGGAGAACTTGATAATGCTTCTTCTTCTTGTGTCAAGGTTGATGAATTGCTCTCTTCCTTTGAGTTTCCCATTTTAACGTGGATGCTTCTTCTCATCCTATTGGAAATAAACACTGAATCTCTAACTCTGTGTTTTGCAGGCCCTTGAAGACCCTATCTCGTCAATAAGGGATGCATTTGCAGAAGCTCTGGGAGCATTGCTTGGTCTTGGGATGAATCCTGATGCACAGGTTGTAAGTCCTTTTCTGATAAAGTACGAAAATTTTATTAAAAGAAGGAAAAGGATATATAATTAGAAGAGAAATGTACCAACAGAGGGAACCCAGAAAAAGAAAGGAAACAAAATCTGGGCAAAAAGAAACCTCCGAATTGGAAAAGGAGATAAATATATTGTAAATGCTTTTAAAATATTTTATATTTCTTGATCTGACTTTGCTTATGCTCATTAGGTACAACCAAGGGGAAAAAGTAATTTTACTCCCAAGAAACTTGATGGGGGTTTGGAGAGACACTTAACTTTGCCATTTGTAAAAGGTATATTTAGCATCTCACTATGTTTCATTTGTCAGAAAGCTCATTGCAGTGAATTTAGGTCTTAAACACATCATTGCAATCAGAATGTGGAAAGATGGCATGTGCTATTGATTTAGAGTGTTAAACGTAATATACAAGGGTGCATCCTTTCTTTCTGTAGCTCTCCCTGAGGGAATTGACCGTCTTATAGAGAAACAACCTTTTTTAATCGGAAGTTCTAAAATGTTCAAATGTTTAGTAAAAAGTCTCCATTAAAATCCAATTTCAAACAAGCTTCCTTCTCATTGTGGTTTCCGGTTTTGCTCATCTTTCAAAAATCATAACAATTGAGCATTAGCTAAGTTGATTCTCCTGCTCCATTATCATGGTGAGTGGATCTATCTAGGTAAAATGACAGTACCCTTATTAGCTACAAATCCACAAGCAAAGGAGTTTGCTAGTGTATTTCTTGGTGGATTGACAAGATTCTTTTTCTGACGTACACTGAAGGAACAGAATTGGAGCAGGAGGGACTGGAAATTTGTGTCCCTCCCTTCTTTTGTCCCTTCTGTTCCAAGTTTAAGTAATTGCTACTCTCAAGTGAAGTGGCGTATCTTATCTTTGTTAAATTTTCTACCAGAACAATGAGTTCTCATGGAAAAGACTCCTACTTGGACCAATCCATTATTTTTGAAACAGCCTTGTCAGTTATCTGCTAAATGAAGTATTCACATTGATCCTTTTCCAAAATGAAGTATTCACATTGAAAAGTAACATCTCCATGCTTGATTTCTTAGTCTTTTGTTTGCAAAGTGTAACTTGACATGTTTGTCTCTCCTCCTTTCCACATAACTAGCATTGCTTCATGATTCTTTGTTTCAGTGTGTGTGTTGTTTCTTGAAAATCCTGGGAAGATTTACAATGATTTCTGAGTCTCTGATAAGTTGAAAAATTGCAGCTAGTGGTCCTCGGGTGAAAGTTCTGCGCGTTGGCCTAACCTTGTCATGGGTTTCTTTTCTCCAGGTAGCCAATGAATCAATAAATCCTGTCTTACATCCAAACATCCTTTTTCCTGTTTTGGATAAAAGATTTATACTGTTTTGGAATATCAAAGTTACAAATGCATGTGGGTGTCTGTCCAATATTTTATACGTGAACATTTTTAAGTCATCAAGGAAGATTATACAGGCATTGTCCTCTTTTGATAAAGTAGAGTTTAACGTCCCACCTCCACTATACCTTTATTTTTATCGGATGTCCCCGAGGGGACCACCTCCGCTATAATTGAAGCTGGTGAAAGGAGGACAAATTTTATCTATGAAAAGTTGGTAGTTTCAATGCACGTGGTGCCCTGTCATTGTAATTACACAGTGGTTTCCAAACATACCCCAAGTAAAATATACACTTGAACTATGCCTAATTTTTTTATTATCGTGAATTTGTACCTCCTTGGTGCAATCTATATAATACAATCTTTTATCAACCCCCACCCACCCGCAAAAAAAAAAAAAGAGAGGAAGATTTAGTGCAAAGAATGTTAGAAGAACATACCATTGATGAGTTTCTCTTTTCAGGCCATTCGCTTGAAGTATCTTCAGCCTGATACTGAGCTTGAAAAGTACATCTTTCAAGTGATGGAGATGCTTCGTGCTGATAGTTTGTTTGATGCTCAAGCACTGGTATATAGTTCTTTTTACTCTGCCAAAATTTCATCCAATTGTGCATTTTATTTTGGCTAGTTGGTGACTGGTCTCATCAAAATATTTGCCTTTTGTCCTTTGCTGAGGTGAAAGAGAGTTGGCTTTCATGGACATTTTCTTAATTTTTTCGGTTGTTTATTCCACTCCAGGAAGCGACTAAATAAGTGTTCATCTGTCTAATTGCTGATGCATGACAAATTGTTGGTTATAGCTCTTCCCTCCCCCTGTTCTATTCAGTTACACGAGATTACTGTTCAATATAGCACGTTCGTGCTGTTTCTGGATGAGAATTCCCATCATTACTTTAAGTGCGTTTAAGAACGTATAGAATTTGTATTCTTCAGAGCTTCTGGAAATGACTTATGGACGTTAGTAAATGCAATAAGACTTACATCTGTAATATACTCAGCCGAAGTCCGGATTTAAATTTAAAATTCAGGAATTCTGATCATTGCTTGCTCTTTATGTGGCTTGAAGTTGATGGATATAAACTTCAATCAAAAGCTTGTTGATGTCAATGGACATTCTAATTTGATTTGAAGCACAAAATATAATCTAGGTTACGATGCTAAATATTATCTCTTGAAGGACTTGTCTCCAAGTACAAGGTTGCTTAGATACCAACTTTTGCTCTTGTGTGGACTCACCGACTCCCGATTAGCTAATGAACCTTCTGGGGGAAATCTAATTGAAGCATGCTGTTTTATTTGTAAAAGAAGCTGAAATAAAGTGATACAGCCACCAAAAAGGAAGTTCACGAAATCCAATCATAATGCCATAAAGTTAGAGTGGTGTCTATGGAAGTTGTATCCACTTGGTCTTTACCTTAATTTATTGCAACGATTTATCTTCTTCATTGCGTTGTACTATATGCTTTTTTTGATTTCAAGATTGTAGACTCAATATCCTCACCAGTTTTGTTGATGATTAATTGAAGGCATGCATTTTATACATCCTTCGAGTGGGTATAACTGACCAAATGAGTGAACCTACTCAGAGAGGCCTTTTAGTTCTTTTGGGCAAACAGGTTTGTTCTAGTGAATTGTATTCTGGAAATTTCTTCTTGAAGTTATTGGTGGTGTTTGGCTCTTGTGAAATGTGTTGTCACATGAGATGCTCTAACAGTTGCTTTCTGCAGCTTCAATCTCCTGATGCTACTCCATCCATGCGGGTTGCTGCTTTGCGTACCATGTCGTATGCTTTGAAAACACTAGGGGAGGTGAAGGACAATATTCTCTGCTTTGCATATGTTTACCTGTTATTTGTCCACTTTATTAATCCTTTGGATAATTTGCTTGGTCTAGTTAATAGTTGGGATTGGGATTCAATGCAGCTTGATTTTCTCTCTGATTGGTTTATTGAAGATTGGAAACTTGTACCTTTATGCCCTTACCACAATTTTTCACTCATGGGACCATTCTTTTCTGATAAGTAATTAGACATTTTATTGCCAGAAAATGGGAAATCATGTTTACAAGTGGTACACTATCTCTACAGAGAAAAGTTTTTTTCTACAAACTCCATCCAATCATCTACAAGTGCAGTGTCATGTGGACTTAATTTTGCTATGTGAGAGTGAGAATCTAATCGTTTTTACTGATTAACCTGTGCTCGATAATCAAAATTTTTTGAGCACGAGTCTTCCAGCTATGCTATATTACCTGGTTTGGCTTGGCTGATATTCAGCAAATATACTCCTACAGGGTGGAAGCAGGGAGCTGATGGGTCTTTGGGTTTCTTGTTATCTGTTTCTAGGATGAATTGATTTGAGCTGATTGCTTGACTAATTAATTGAAATTCATGTTTGCCCCTACATACGGTAGTTTGGTTTGTGATAAGTCGTTTTGATTGCTTTGTAGAGCCAGTGTTTGGTTAGTAATTGGTATGCCATTATGCAGGTTCCGGCTGAGTTTAAGGAAGTTCTTGATAATACAGTTGTTGCTGCAGTTTCACAACATGCACCATTGGTAAGCTTCTACTTATGTTCGTATGTGGCTTCATTGAATGCGGGAGTAGATATTCACATGTTCCTAGACTTGAGTTATCAAAGACGAATACTTAAAGAAAATCTATAAATCAGGTTCCATCAGCCTGTCGTGTCTAGCAAAGTTTGTAATTTATTTTAATTTCTGCAGAAGTCACTCTTGTTTCTATCTTGGTATTAAATAAGAGTAAGTTATTTTTATGATGAATAAGAAAATTCTTATTGGTCGGGAAAAACCAGCACTATGATAATGTTGGGAAAAACAAAAAGATGGCTATCCTTAAGAATTTTATTGCTTCCAGAACTTTAATTCAGTGATAAGAGCGCAACGTGTGATGGGTGGTTAGACGCACGTCACGAGTTCGAACTCTGCCTTGGACAAATTAACTTTATATATAAGTGGAAAGGCTAGAGGAATGGGCTCATTATCCACTGATTTTAGAACCTTGTGGCAGCTGGCCCCCGAGGATTTCTCGATTATCAAAATAAGAAAAAAAGAGAGAGAGATGTGCTATCCCTATTTTTATGTGGAGTTGCTATCATGGAAAATGTCTACTTTTATATACATCCCTGAGGTTGGGGTCATGTCTAATTTGCAAACATTTGCTCTTTAACTTATATACAGTTGTTAGCATTTCCTTGAGAACACCTCTCCTTCCAAAGGACCCATAAAGCACCAGGGGGTTGGTGCTCCGAATCGTCTTATTCTCTCTGGTTGTGCTCCAGATATCCAATCCTAGGCGTACGGATGAGGAGAGGTTAAGTGTCCCCCATTGGTTGGGAGAATGGGTTGCCTCCTCATATGGTCTTGAGCAATCCTCATCTTGTAAAGAAAATGGACCTTGTGCCTAACTCAACCTCAAATGCTAACTCATGAGGTGAGGAATTTCCAAGCCCATATGAGGTGACAACTTATTTCACCAATCAACGTGTGACACTTAATGCCCAAGCACGCCTACGACTGGACATCTGATGCTTGGACATTATAGCATGGGAGCAACAGTCAACACTGGGTAAACCAAGAATAGGATGAGTCTGCCTCTGTACCATGTGAAGAATGAAGCAAAGAGGAGAAAATACAGCTTGATTATTCCCTCAAGCTAGTGAGTTCAAATACTGAAGTGTATAAGATCTAAAATAGTAAGGAAGACCATAAACTAACTAATTATTGGGGAAGTAACAATCTAATTAGTTCTCACTGATCATAATTGATACACAATATTATTTATAATATTCTTGACACATCTCATGAGCTAGCTTTGGGGTTGAGTTAGGACCACAAACATTTTCTTAATAGTTGTGAAGGAAGGAAAGAAATCCTGTTTATGCTTTTGGTCTCGTAATAATATGTTTATATACTTTTAAATTGGAACACCCAAGGCCTTTTACTGAATCCATCATTTGCTTGATTTCATGGGTTGTCTATCTACTCATTGGCTTCTGACTCCTTCACTGTTGCTTTGTTAGGTGCGCATTGAGGCCGCTTTGACCTTGCGCGCGTTAGCTGAGGTTGATCCTACATGTATTGGTGGTTTGATTTCTTATGCAATAACGATGCTTGGAGCAGTGAGAGAAAATATTTCATTTGAAAAGGTAAAGCCAAGATAGATACTTGGTGCTCATTTTTCTAGTTTTGTCCTGGTAACCTGGCTCTATCAGCTTGGTTCATCATGATGTTTCCTGTTCAACATTTTTATCTAATTGTTTCAAACTGCATCTCTTGGTGGAAATAGGTCATGTTTGTCTTGTCAAACTGTTATTATGGACCATAAACAAATCAACTAACCACATAACTAGATTTAAAGACAGTGGTCTCCAATTTTCTGGAAATGGAACTTAGGTTGGATTGTCTCTTTTGCTTAACAATGAACTCTTGATTCACCTATTCATTATCGTGCTTTCGCTTATACATCCTGTGCTTCATTTTTTATGACATTGTTTTTATTTGGGATGTTCCTACATGTTTGACACTATTCCATTAGTAGTATTATTTTATGTAAACTTTTACAACTTTCATGTTCAGATTCATTTAACTATTTGAATTTTGTACTTTGACGGTGATATTTTCTCAATCAAGCAATCTTTTCAACCATTGCTTTAGTGTTTTCTTCCATCCCTCTAATATAATACGCAAGTCAATTTAGCATTTTAAACTCCATTTCCATTCAAATACCTTCATAAATAAATGAAAAGGAGAGAATATTTCCACCCAAAAATTTGTTTTTCAAGAAGACCTTGATTCAGAATTCCTCAAGATGTGTTTCTATTGAGTTGGTTTTTCTTCTCTGGCAAACTCACTATGTCCTTTCAGCTTTTTGGTAGGATACTGTTATCTTGTCCTTGTCTTCAAGGATTGACAACACTTTCTTTTGCTGTTGTATATCTTTTTGCAGTATTTTAGCCTTCAGATCTGTAGGCATACCTGTACTTTAGACGTTGGCTATGTATTACTGGGTTAGTACTTTGAGAAATTACGTCATCCTTCTTCTAATTAATTGATTTAAAGAAGGGTTTCCCCCTGTACGAGAGGTGTAAAAAAACCAAAATAATCCCACAGGCTTGAGTAGCGCCTACCCAATCAGCTATACAAGTCAATGTCTTGTGTGCTCCAAAAAATAAACAGAAAGAAAATTATATTTGATCTTGAAAATCATGTTCTCTTTGCCCTTGGTTTAATGATTTCATTTTCTGTTTGATTTACAGGGAACTAATCTAAAGTATGAACTGGAGTGTCTAGATGGTCAGGCTGCGGTTTTGGCAGCTTTGGTGTCTATTTCACCAAGCTTACCTCTTGGTTATCCATCTCGGTAATGGCTTCCTCCATTTATGTGTAACCTTTTCTTTCTCCCCAAAAGAATGCATAACTGTCTAAAGTTCCATGCTTGTGATGACTGTTAGTTAGTTTTAGTTATTCATATTTCTTGAGTTTGCAAAATCTCTGCACGTTTTGACTTTGCTTTCTTACTTATTATCATATCTACCTTAGTCTCGTCCTTGTAATACGAGCATCTGATTTATAGGCGGCTCGGAAAATTTTATTTTCCCTTAATTCCTAGAAAGCTTTAAATTCACTTAAAAACTGAGAAGATTAAATATTTGTTCACCTGCTATGCTGATTCTCTATGTGTTGATTCTGATTGGAGTGTTAAATTTGGATTTTCCTCCATGGCTCTTTCACTTGCTGTTTGTTTAATGTACCTCTCCAATATGAATCTGAAATAGGAATAGGCTAACTGTAGAAATTTTGTTTTTTTGCTGAGATTAGTTTTGCATGGACAGCTAGTCAGGCCTTGTATTTGAAGTTTTGAAGTTTTGGCTCTTGATTAGCTCTTGATTTTTGATTTTTGGATTGATCCAGGCTTGACTTGAATTCTGACTCTTTTAGTCTTTTTTAGTCTTCTTTGACTTTCAGTCTTCTTTGTCTTCCATAGTCCCCCAAGTGTTAGATTTTGAAGTATGTAATCTCGAGCACTTGATTATTCCTTCCATGTGGTCCATCTCCTAAAAAGGAAAATACATACCGGACTCGGAGGTATATTTTTAGATGATGACTGCTTAACCCTTTTTATTTCCATCAGAAAGGTTGTAACTCAGACCGAAAATAATTTTGTATCCCGCGTGTCTTTCAGGTCTAATATCATCATTTGGTATGGGCTAGCTTTTTGCCTATCATCTAAAATTGTTAGTATAATTTAACTGAACAAAACAAAATCGTAGTTAAGTGATACCTGATCGTGGGTATTTCCCTTGCTTAAAAATAATATTTCTTCAAATGAACAACATTCCAATTCGAAGGTAACACCTTGTCGTCCATGGTTTCTAATTCATAAGCACCTTTCCCAGCGATACCTCGCACTTTATAAGGACCTTCCCAATTTAGGTTAAACTTTCCTGCTCCAGCTGTTTTTGTTGATTGAAAATCCTTTTTCAGAACAAAGTCCCCAATCTTGAAGTATCTGAGATGAGCCTTCCTGTTGTAGTATCGTTCAATGGTTTGCTTCTGTGCTGCCATCCTTATTGTATAGAACATTTCTGAAGATGTTATTGGAAATATATCCTAAACTTTGAAGTTCAGGATCTCCGCTAATTAGTGGAATATTTTAGCAGATCCTGCTAAGCATACTTTTCGGCATCGTGTAGTTGAAGATCGTCGTTTTCAATCTGTATCTGATCCAGCTGTCTTTGAAATTTGAGATACGTAGATTTTACTTTGTTCAGGCATGCATATTGATCTGAAAAATAACGGGCAACTGTTATATCATTTTCATGGTTGTCTCGCGTCACAATGTTAATATGCTATATATTTCCTCTTTGCTGCATTTTTCTTTCTGAAATCTATTTCTCTATGGGTAGCCTGTTTCTGTCCTTCTGGTGTTAGGCATCTGAAGTAACATGACTCAAAGATAATATCTCAAAACAGATTTACCCATCAAAAAAAAAAAAAAAAAAAAAACTGAAAACAGTTCGACAGGATTCTGTAGTTCTTTTCCTTGATTTTATTATCATCTCTGTTGCTAGAGCTATTATCTCAGCCTCCTTTTCTTTCCAGTCGAAGGCATTTTTTATGGTTGTTAGCAGTATCATGTATTCTTTTATTCATGTCCTCATGCTTTTCTTTATTTTTTTCTTATTTTTATCTTGGGGACCTTATGCAGTTTGCCCAGATCAGTAGTTGAACTGTCTAAGAAAATGATAATGGAATCAAGTTGGAATCCTATGGCAGCAGCCGTTGAAAAGGAGGCTGGATGGATGCTCTTATCCTCACTGCTTGCATGCATGCCGAAAGAGGTACAGTTAGTGGTTTTGTTGATATAACTTCTCCGCTTTTGTTTTTCATGGTGCTATTTCATTGGAGATGCAGGAACTTGAGGATCAAGTTTTTGATATTCTTTCTTTATGGGCTTCCGCATTCCATGGAAATCCAGAACGCCATATCAGTGAAACAGAAGATCTCCAATCTAACATAAGGTTAGATATGTTAAATTTATAGAAAATTATTTATTATGATTTGAGGAAAAATTAAATAAGCCTGGTTAGATATGTTAAATTTATAGAAAATTATTTATTATGATTTGAGGAAAAATTAAATAAGCCTGGTTAGATATGTTAAATTTTACACAACTATGAATGTTTTATTTGTCGTTTGGTAGAATTTTAGGAAAATTAGATATTGGTAATGACATGGTGACTTTGTCTGTGTACCTACTGTTCAATATCGTTTTAGTCAGCCTAGATCACCTACATTTTGGATAAGCCAGTATCCCAACTCTAAACCACATAAGATGGATGGATACGATCATTATGAGAAATTTATTGTCATGCTTTGTTGGGACATACCAAACAGCTAAAAGTGTAGCCCCTCTATGTTAATGTTACTTCTTCTTACTCTCCTCTATCCCTATCGCTTGCTGCCGTCCAAAAAATTACACCTTTTCTGGCGGCGTACAGAAAACCATCTACTCCCTCTGCAACAATTTCTAGTATGATTTAACTGTGAACAACCTATCTCTCCTCTTTCCCCACCTTCACGAATCTTGTGCAGAAGTAGTATTCTCTGCTTTTAGAGTAACTCCACCAAGTCTTGGAAAGCGACCATGTCTTAGTGATTCCTTCTAAACTTCAGATCCCAAAGTATCTCCCCTCTCTTGCACCCAATGTATCTATTGGGCTGTTATCACTCTCTGGGTTTATACTCTGCCGATTTTAGGGAAAACAAGCTTCGACATGTTTTCACCTCACCATTTGTGGTTGCAAAAGTTAATCCTTCTTCCATCCCCATGAATGTATTATGGACGCCGAAGTCTTCACAGTCCTTCATAATGCTCCTCTATAGTCCGCACTCAAACAGTAGTAAGAAATTTCTAATCCTCTAACAGCCATCGATTGTGCCATACTTTTCTGTTACCACTCCATAGAGCCTGCTCCTCAACTCATAACTTCCATAGCTATTTCTCTAGCAAACCTTTGTTGAACACTCTAAGGTCTTTCCCTCCTGAAACACCACCTTCTTTTCGGAGATGGGATGACCCTCTTACTCACTGTGTAAACTTTCTGATATAATCTGCAGCATCCATAGGAAATTCGTCTGGGGTCTTTCTAATTTTTCTGTTGCACTAGCCAGTGCCTGTAGTCTGTAACTCCATATAGCCTTCTATGTGGGGCTCGGTTCTCCGCCCCTGAATATCTCTTACAGGACTTGATTGAGAATTATATTGTGAAGAACCTTTCCAGATGATACTATCTATTCCGCCAAAGTATGTAAAGTTGTATAGACTCAATAGGAACGATTCTACCTCATAAAACTCCCAGTTCTACAGAGATCTTCTAAAGGAGATGTCTTATGAAGTTTGTTTCCTTCCAGGCTTCGAGACTTGCCCTTCTCTTGTTTGTGACCAATTAGAACAAGCAGGGAAAGTCTTTTTTCATCGTGTTATCTCTGTACAACATCGAGCCAAAATTGTATCTTCTAATGGTTTCAACCAATGAACAAACAAATAAAGTCAGAAGTTCATTTTCCCTATCATGATCCCTTTCTATTTACTGGTCTAATATGGTAATTGTACATCATAGTGAACCAAATTGATCATCACCATATTTTCTTGTAATCACCTTCCTCCAAACAGCTTCTCCTCCATTGCATATATTCGAAGCCATTCTCCTCAAAGCTCCGTGAAATATCTCAGGTCTCTGTATATATCTAGGCCCCCAAGCTCAATAGGTTTTGTCCTATTCCAATTCACGTGGAAAATTTTCTTTTCTTGCATTTGCATTATCCCATAGGTTACTTCTCATTAGTTTCTCCAGTATGAGAATGCTTTAGCGTTGCCTTTATAAAAGTGACTTCCTTTCCCTATTGAGAGATACCATCTCTTCCACCTCTCTAATCTACTCTTCAAATATTTGCATCCCCGGTTCCTAGAGTTCCACTTCCTTGTATTTCCTCCTAGTGTGAAGACTCAGGTATATCTTGTAGGTAATTTACAAAACTTACAACCCTCTCACTTGCCAATGCATTGGTGTTCACGTCTCCAACCGGTAAGAGCTCTGAGTTCCTCATCTTCATCTGGAGGCCAGACATTTCTCAAGCCAGATCAACTCATCAAAGTCCTGAAAATCAGTTATCTTGTATGTAATTTACAAATCTTACAACCCTCTCACTGCTGATGCATTGATGATCACCTCTCCAACCGGTAAGAGCTCTGACTTCCTCATCTTCATCTGGAGCCAGCTGGAGGCCAGACATTTCTCAAGCCAGATCAAAGTCCTGAAAAACGCTTGAATCTGTTTCACTTTGGTCACATATGGTCAACATGTAAGTCTCCAAACAATAGATGTGATCAGTGTTATCAAAGGCGAAAAGCGCAAAAAAGCTCTAAGGTCTGTCGGGGCTTTAAGCGCAAAGCGCAAATAAAGCGTGGGCTTTAATGAAAAAAGGCGCAACCGGAGAAAAAGTAAAAATATGTATATGTAGTGTAAGACTATTAATTATAAGCATGAATAACAAATATATGGACAAAGAAATTGAAAAAAATTTACGATAAAGTGAAATATCAATTGTTTAATGATGCCTTTTCAGGATTACACTCATTGGCAAGTAAAAGTAGGCCTAAGAGCCTTGATGCGATACTAAAGCGCCCACAAAGCGAGGCGAAGCGCTCAACCTGTTTTGAGCCTCGTTTCAGGGCTTAAGCGTGCCTTTGACGACACCGGATGTGATACACTTCTTCTTACTTGACGAACCCCCTATCTTAAACCTGCAAACTATCCTCCCCAGATGGTTTGCTCGAATTGCTTGCTTAATGCTTTCATCACCATTAAGAACATTATTGAAGATAACAGGCTCTTTGTCTTAAGCCCCTGCCACTGGCAAAGAACCAAAGTGGAGTGCTATTCACCATATGGAGAACTTAATTTAGAGATATATTAGTAAATCCATCTCCTCGACTTGTCCAGCATTTCATTCTATAAAAGGTAGAGCAGGAAATTCTACTTGACATACATAATCCTTTTCGGTGTCCAGCTTGCACCTAACTTCCTGAAGTTTGCTCCTTGATCTGTAATCTACTGACTCATTTGCAATCAGAGTAGCGTTTCAAATCTGTCTCCTTCCCACAAATGTATTTTCTGGTGTCGAGATGAGTTTGTCCGTGACGCCTTCAATCTGTTTACAAGTACTTTTGGTGGTAATTTTGCCTAGTAGGCTAGTGTCGTTATTCCTAGTGTCCAGCGCTCCCCCTTCTTCAGGATTAAACAATGAATGAGGAGTGAAAGCTCTTCTCAAAACAGCAAATATCGTAAAAATACTCCAAACGTTCCCTAACATCTTTCATCACCACCACCCAGCAATGATGGAAAAAGGCAGAACTGAAGCTGTTAACAGGCCGGTGACTTGTCCCTGTATGGTACTATGTTTCTCTCTGCTTGCTCCACTTCATCCTCCTCGAAAGACTAGTCAAGCGCATTCCTCTCAATCTGGCTGATTTTCTGAAATGTGCTGCCTTTAAAGTTGGGTTTCCATTCCTCATTTTTTCTTGTAGAGGGATGGTAATGTTGAATAATTCCTTCTTATGAAGTTGTTCCTGCTATTTGCATTGGCGATACAGTAGAAGAATCTACCAAATACTTATTCCGATGGAAGGACCACACTGATTGAAAAGAATGTAACTTGAATAGCATCAAAGTAATCTGAATTTTGTAAGCAAGTCAGATGAAAGTATGCATGTTTAGGTTTTGTCCAATTTAATGGGTTTTTAGATTATTACTTATTTTAGGATGAAAATTTTTCACTTTGACAAATCATTCCACGTCTATTAGTCTTTCCCGTTCTTTCGAGTTACAAATTTGCAAAAGGAAATTCACGAAGATTATACAACTACTCTATTTTACCGAGGGACAAAGGGGAGCCTTGGAGCAATGGTAAAGTTGTCTCTGTGTGACCTATAGGTCATGGGTTCGAGTTATCATCAGTGTAGGCTGTCTACATCACATTCCCTGGGGTGCGGCCATCCCTGGACCTTGCGTGAATGCCGGGCTTCCCTTTTTCTCATTCTATTTTACTGAGGGACAACATAGGCAAAAAGAGCAAATTTCATCAGATAAGAATCCTCTTGTTTTTAAGAAAAGCAACAAATATAATATCTGCTTTCGCAAACCTAAATAAATAATAAATAAGTATTCCCTATTTAACCAGTTAAACTTTTGGATGATGCGTTTTACATAATTGAACATGGTATATCCGAGTTGATAAAGGTCTTGAGTCCGACTTTCACATTCACTGATCAACAAGATAGCCCACGTGCTGGTATGATCAGTATAATTTCTATACTTATCTATCTTTTTTTGTTCCATTGCAGCATTCTGTACTTTATAAGTGTCTTCAAGCAAATGTCTCTAAATGTAATCTTGTGCTCTTTGTGCTGCTGTACAATTTTGTTTCCTAAAACTTTTAATGTGGTTTCTGAAGTCTGCGACTATATATAACTTTGTGAAGCTCTTTTCATTTTATTTGTAGCGTATGGTGTGCTGCAGTGGATGCATTGACAGCATTTATAAAGAGTTTTATCTCTTCTGGTGCTGTGAACAAGGGGATCTTACTTGAACCAGTTCTGTTATACCTTAGTAGGTATAGATACATGTGACTTATGTACGTTTTCTGTGAGAGTCTGGTGGAGCTCTCTTATGTTGCTTATGTTTGTGAAAATTGTTAATACAGGGCTCTGTCATATATATTGCTGTTGGCAGCCAAAGACCAAATGAGTGTCAAACAGGCAGCGGAGATATTTATCATCAAGACACTAATAGCCTATCAGTCAATTTCAGATCCAACTGCATATCGGAGAGACCATGCCCGTCTTATTCAGATATGTGCAACTCCTTATAGGTGAATGTTTGATCCAGCTCATCAGCTATGACGTAGATATGTATTTCCCTGGCAAGAGTCGTTCCTTTTCTTTTTCTACAAGGGCACCTCTTTTTCTTTTCATTTTTGGAAGAGCGATGTCATTCTTATTTTTTCNAAGAGGATTCAACTTTTTCCCCTTGTTTGATATCCATTACTAATACATGTTTCTGATCATGAAGCCGGAGACTACAAGCAAAATGTTAGTGAATCAGAAGCTCCTCTGCTTTGGATCCATATTTGCTTCCGAGGTAAGTGAATATGGTTGATGGCTTGGCTTTGTGTTAGAATTATGTGCAGATATGGAGGCATTGATAGCTTGCAACTTAGTTTGTCATTGTTCCCCTCAGGATATTGGTGGAATGCTCTCACTCCTCGAAATGATTGAGCAGTGTCTGAGAGCTGGAAAGAAACAAGCATGGCATGCAACCAGTGTTACAAACATATGTGTGGGCCTGCTATCTGGCTTGAAGGTGATCTAATAATTTAGACTTTTCATGCACTTGTCGGGAATTTTACATGTCTTACATCTGCTTCTCTTGTGCTTGCCTTCATCACAGGCTTTGCTTGCTCTACGTCCTGAACCCTTACCATTGGAAGTACTTAGTCTGGCACAATCCATCTTTCAGGTTTTCACTATCTTTTTGTTGATATTTTAGTGCCCTTGCCTTTCTTTGTCCTTTACAGTCTTTCTTAGCGTTTGGTGTTTACCTTGACAGAGCATTCTGGCTGAGGGTGACATCTGTGCTTCTCAACGCAGAGCATCATCTGAAGGTCTTGGCCTATTAGCTCGACTAGGAAATGATGTGTTCACTGCCAGATTGGTTAGTTCCATTTGAATCTTTTCACAGCCTCCTGGTTCTAGGACAGCTTTCTGGGTTGCATCTTGTAGAGTCATGCAACAATTAGTATCATTGAATCCGTAAGAATCTCAATTACCCATGCTCCGTTGTCATTTTAACTGGTACGTGTCATTGCAGACAAGAGTGCTCCTTGGTGATATAAATTCAGCGGTAGATTCAAACTATGCTGGTTCAGTTGCTATATCACTTGGTTGCATTCATCGCAGGTAAGCTTGTTGAATGATGCAAACTTAGTGTGTACCTTTATCATTTCACTAAACACATGCATGAATTCCTTTTATATGACAGTTCTTGTCGCTCTCGACTCTTTCTTACATGAAAATTTCTTCCACAACCTTTGACCAATCTGGTGGTGCTATTACTTACTTCTTTCTCCCCTTCCCTCCAATGAAGAGATCTTTGGTATTGGTAATTATGTCGATGTGTTTCAACTTTAAATGCACCAATTCTGCTTGTCCATGAGCAGCTTGTCAAATTGAAGTGCAAAGCAGTATTTAAGGTAAATAAAGGTTTAATGAAAATAGCTGATTGTCTAATTATAATGCATTTTGGAGCTAAAATTTGTAAGCACCGATCAATTAGTGAGGTTTTGAGCTGATACAATAAAAAACAGTTTACTTATGTCAATGATGGAAGAAATACTTATCTCATGATGTGAGCAAATACTTAGGAAGTAACTTATGTAATTGAATCGATCCACCAAAGTCTTGAGTAAATGTGTAGTATCTGATCCCAAAGATAGTAAGTACTTTCTTTCTTATGAAAGAAAGTCTTTTCCAAAGATTCTATATAAGTTTATTTATGAAACCGAGATAGTTATCTTTCTGCACTAAGAGGTTTGTCTGAGTATGCTGTTTGAATTGTTGTTTGTTAGTTATCTGCAGTCCTCATTCTGTTAAACCTTCTTGCAGCGCAGGAGGGATTGCATTGTCAAGTTTGGTTCCTGCTACTGTTAATTCTCTTTCTTCTCTGGCTAAAAGTTCAAACACTGCCTTACAAATTTGGTCTTTGCATGGTCTATTGTTGACTGTGGAGGCTGCTGGATTGTCCTATGTTTCTCATGTTCAGGTATCCATATATTCTGAGTATGATACTTCAGTGTCTCTGAGAGCATCAGTTATCCACATTCTTTGATTATCATGGCTAACATTTGATTTAGTGTCTGTTTTTCTTATCACATTCTTCGGTTGTCATGGCTAACATTTGATTTAGTTGTCTGTTTCTCTTATCACATCTTGTAGAATCTACTCATGCTGACCAAATTTAAGATATTCTTTTCAAATAGGAAGTGTTTGATAAGAAGAGGATGGGTTTAACTATTTTCTGGTTTATCGGAGGTCAGAAGTGTCTCTTGAATAGATGATAAATAATAGAAACTCTCGAACTTCAGCCAGCTGTTTATGGCTCTCTCTTGAGCATGTTACTTATCAAGAAACTAATTATCATGTTCAGATAACATATTTGGTTGGATCTAGTGGAAAAAGTCAAGATATTCAGTTGTGAAGAAGAGACCATAGGCTAAGAACAAAACGTGCTTTGCTAATAAATCCGTTAAGATTTACTTGGCTACCTTCGTTCAGAAACGCATCTAATGTTCACTCTACTATTTTATTGATATGTTCTCCAGATGGTGTTTGTGTCATCTTGTGTTTTGTAAGTGGGTAATTGTCCTTCCTTATTGCTCTTCATTTTGAAGCCTGATCGCGATAAATTATTGATTAAGGAATTTTCTTGAATCGTTAGGCCTTAAAAGCTTCCCCACCTGATATGTTGTAAGTTGTAACTTTTATTTTTTTGGTTACCATTTTTATGTTCACATTGCTTCAAGAGGTTACCCTTCTGATATGTTGAACAAGAAAGGCGATTTATCATTTTTTTTTGTTTGGCACCTCTAGGTTCTAATTCAACTCTTCGTTTAACTCTAAAGTTTCCTATCTTCTTTTACTTTCAGGCGACACTTAGCCTTGCCATGGATATTCTGTTGTCAAATGAGATTGGTTCGACTAACCTGCAGCAGGCAGTGGGACGCCTTATAAATGCTATTGTTGCTGTCCTTGGTCCTGAACTTTCTCCTGGCAGTATATTTTTCTCGCGTTGCAAGGTTTGTCAATTCAATCTTTAAGAAGCTTTAATTTGTATTTTTGGTCCATATTAATAGAAGCATCATAACCTTAAGACAACAAAAGTGCAAGAACTCCCCCAAGCTCACATGGATATGTTAGAAAGCTAGTTTTAGTAAAGCGAACTTGCTGAGAGTATCTAGTTTTTAAAATTGAGAAACCTGTATGTCGTTTACTTACCACCTTTTTATGGCAAGTGTTATATGTGCAACTAAGTAACATTGTATTGATAAATGAAAGATCACTTATGGGTTACAAGTGTATGTCAAGTGTCTCTTAAACATTCATTAAACTCATCATGTTTGTTGAAGTTTCTCTATATGTAGTCAAATTTAACTGAGGCAAATATCGGATATGTAATGTACTACTCTCTCTGTCACAATTTATATGTCATACTTTCTTTTTTAATCTGTTCCAAAAAGAATGTCATACTTTCTGATTTAGAAACATTTTAACTTTAAATTTCCATTTTACCTTTAATGAGATGATTTAGCCATCAAAATGTCAACTTTGAGATTGTCTGTGTCATCTCAAAACATTTATCTTTTAGCAATTTTGTGGTTAGATAAATTTATAAGTATAAATGAAATACACTTGAATATCATTTTTGCTGAAAAAGATGGATGGATTTTTAATTAGATACTTTCTAATCATTAAATATCAATACACAGGAACCTATATGTAATTACAGCATTTTTATGTTACTTTGTTTCATGAGCTCAAGTAGGAGTGTCAAATTTGGTGAGGGATATGATGGGTATGTTTAATTTTTTAGGTTGTTATTATATTTTAAAGATACCCATGTCATCCCTGATCAAAATGGGCTGGTAAAATGATGGCAATAGAGCTATGGCATCATTAGATAAATAACAAAGTATGCACTAAAAGTGGATATCCTCTGGTCCGAGGAATTTCTCTGCTAAGAAGTAGTGTGATGCTCTTATCAAGAGATAAATACATTAAAAAAAGATGGAACAACTTCCTTGATAACCGTATTTGTCCTAGAACTATTTATTGTAAAGTTTAGCGTATAAAATGTTATGGGGTTTCTGCCAAATAATCCTAGTATAGGAATTGAGATAATGAGACGCAAAAATCTACTAAAAGTTGGAGGACTAAACAAAACGACCTATTAGCATGAATTGTTTTACCATATTTGAAGGTCTTTAATTTATATTTGACCACAAGGAATTATAAACTGTGTCGTCTTGTCAGTTGTCACTGTTCGCTATCAATATTATGATATTCAATTATCCGAACAAAGTTATCTAAAAGATATAAAATACTTGCCTGGGGTAATTGATGCAGTGAATAATCTTCTTCACTGGTATTGTGCTTAGCATACACGTCTTCCAATATATTGAGGTGGCTTTTGACTTCAGTAGCACCATTTCTTTTTTTGCCTACTAGCTTTTTCTAACCTTAATTTGTCCAGTTTCAATTTAATCTTGTGTTTTTCTTCAGTCTGTCATTGCAGAGATCAGCTCCCGGCAAGAGACTGCAACACTTTATGAGTATGGCCACTTGTTGCTCATATATTTGTCCCATTTTTCTATTAACCAAATAAGAAGCAATAGTTTTGAGACCAGTGTGGTTTAGGTCTGGCGAGGACATCAAAGCACTTCATTTGACTCATGCCTGCTTTATCTAGCTTTGTAATATTCACGTTGAATTTTTTTAATGTTTGGATTTTATCTTATTTTTCTTGTTAATTTGAAGGAATGTCCGATTCACTCAGCAGCTAGTTCTTTTTGCGCCACAAGCTGTTACTGTGCATTACAATGTGCAAACACTCCTCCCAACTCTATCCGCAAGACAGGTAGTGCTTTCTCTCCCTTGGAAAAAGAGGGTGGGGGATCAGAGGACTAGAGGACTGGGAGTGACTCCTTTCTTGTTTAATCTTGTGAGTACTGAAACTTCTGAATTTCATTTACAACAGCCAACGCTGCGACGTTTAGCTCTATCCACTCTGAGACATCTCATTGAAAAGGATCCAGTAAGTAATTTGACTCTGACCTATGTGCCATCCTGTGCTTTAGATATTTTGATACCTTAAGAGGCTAGGTTTTGCCAGTTGTCAGGGATATAGACGGATCAATAGCACTTTCTATGCTTTAAACCTCTTTGTTGTATACTATAGAGCTTGCTCGAATACTAATTAGGACGAGCTAATATTCAAGAATCAAGTTAATTGCTTAAACTCTAATGATACGAGTTCTGTTCAAATATATGTTAAACTAGAATATGGCATTATAGGCAATAAAATACTCTTCATATAGTCTAAAACTTGAAAATCCTTAAAGAGCAAAACATCACATCAAATGGGGGTCAGATCCTTTTAATCCTAACTAAAGTATATATCCCATGTGAGAAACAAAAAACACCACGAGAGCACAAGTATTCATCGACGGAATCCAGAAGTGGAACTTCACGGCACAGCTCCACTGACACAGGAGTTTGTTTTATTTGCCTTCTTCCTGTTACTTCCACCAATCCACGTCCCCCGCTCCAAACTCCTAACCCTTCAACTTTTTCCCTTGGCTTAGAAATGAGGCAACCTCCCCCTTCCCCACCCCTCGGGCTTCTGCCTGGCCATCCCCACTCTCTCCCTTAATGCAGGCACCATTCCTGTATTCAGAAGAATACATTGAAATCATCAGCCAGGTTATATACTGACAACCTTTTGGATCTTGGTTGAAATCCTGTCGTGCCTGTTTGAGTGGCTTTTCTGAATACTCTGAAATGACTGCAAAACTACAGGGCTGTTTTGTGCAGTCAACTCCAGACTTCATCCTTTTGATGACTTCTTTCATTGTTCTTGACATTCAACTGGCAGGAAAACTGCTCCCATGTCTTTCCACTTGGAAAACATAACATGTGAAAATCATACAGCTAAGAACAACCTCTTTAAATGAGAAATGTAATGTATACTCGAGAAGAGTTTATGAAGAATAATAAAATGGCAATTTCAGGAGATCTATTTTCAATTCACTCTTATAGTTTCCGAGTTCCGATTTGTCTGCTGTGCACTATATTTTAACTGATGCTTGATGGTGTGCAGGGGTCCATCATGAATGAAAATATTGAAGATACATTATTCCATATGCTGGATGAGGAAACTGATGCTGAGTAAGTTATTATGCCCACACAAACTGGTCCTAACCCTTATCCCTTAATTGTTCTCTAATTTGGTCTCTTTCCGTTTGTTTGGGTTGGCTTTATTAGTTTTAGGTCTAGTGTCTGGCGTTCCTTTTCTTTTTTGGAAATGAGTTAACTAGTTAGATTGAGGGAGGCCCAAGGTCCATTTTCTTAACGGTGTGAGATTAATGAAATGCTTTTTTACTTGTACAAGCAAAGTTATGCACTAGAATCATTTGACTAGGGAGGGAAGTAATTTAGGAGAAAACTGCAATAGGAAAGAAATATGTGGGTATATCATACTTCCTAGTTTATGACACAAGATGAAATAGTTAACATCGTTATGTATCCTTCCCAAGCATGAAGAAAAACATTTTTATTGATTTAGTTCCTTGTATAAAGGTAAATGTAGCCCCCCCCCAAACCATTAATACCCCACACTTAAACAATTGCTCATCCTGGAGCAATCAGATTACACTTCAAATAGTGGCGGCCTCTTTATCAAATAATTTTCCTAACTCATCACGTCAAGAATATTTAAAGCGAACTCATCACCATACAATAATCACTAAGCCTCGAGACTCAACTCACAAGCACCACGTATTTTTAAACATCCGCTCACTAACTCTAACATAAGGGCCAAAGACATACCTTTACTTCGCAAATCTTGCGCCCTCACACCAAAATAGAGAATAGTTCTACACACAGTAAATTTCAACAACAACTAGAAATGTAAGATAGAAAAAATTCACTCACTCTCAAAATAAAATTCATGTGCCATAGAAGACGTACCATAGGCTTTCCTGTAGTGTAATACCCTACTAATTTGAGCTTATTCCGTCAAGGATCAAGTAGGAATTAATTTTGTTTTGAAGTTCGGAATACGAGAGGCAACCGTGTAATTTTTGGTGTGATTGAACATTGAGTTCCTTAACTTTTTGGAAAGAAAATTTACAAGTTTAGAAACTACACACAAAGTAATGTGTAAACCACAATTTTAAAAATTTAAAATATTTATGAATTTTTTGAGAAAATTGTAGTCAAAGACAAATAATTGACTTCCCAATTATTGATAGTATCATATACTCGGACTAAGGGAGTAGCTGGTTGAATTATACTAGTTTTTAATGCCATGCATCTTCTTTCTTTACCCCCTTGGAAAGTGTTTTTCCTTTTTGTTGCTAGCTTTGCCTGTTCGAGTGCTCTGTATTAATCTACCTGAATAGCTTTATATTTGCTTTACTTTTGCTATCTCTTTTCGCTTTAATTATCTTAATGTTTTTCCCTCTACCTGTAATTGGATGCTTTCAAATTTGTGTGCTAACTTTTGTGCCTTACTTAGAGTTCTTCCAATTTTGCAGGATTGGCAGCTTAGCACGGACCACAGTTATGCGGTTGCTTTATGTATCATGTCCATCACAGCCATCACGATGGCTATCAATTTGCCGCAATATGGTAATTTTATCATCCACATTGCCACTTATTTTTGTAATCTGGTCAACATCTTCGGGATAAGCTATTCTGAAAATTGAAGGAGTGTAGTCATGAATTGAAAACATTTTACTTTATTTTTAATTAAACTAGACTGAACAGGATTAAAAGATTCTTCGAAACTCGTCTATGAAATATTTATGATCTTATTCAAGGATTATGCAGCAAGTTAAACCAGTTATCATATGACTGCATGTAATTCACAGCCCAGAGTCTAGCATTTATGCTCTCGGCAATCTTTATCTTGCCTGTCTAGTATTTTTGCCTTGTGTCACATGGCGCGTGTAGTTTCCCTTCTTGATTTTTATAGTGTTTTATGCCGGTGATGAAGAATGCTTCACTGAAATTGTTTATTGTTTTTAGATTCTTTCGTCATCCTCAAGAGTGATCAGCAGAAGTGACAGTTCACAGAATGATTCTTCAAGTGGTCTGGATGGTGAAACTGGACTTAATTATGGAGATGACGATGAGAACATGGTGTCTAGCTCCCAAAACCCAACCTTCCAAGGTTATAGAAGCAATCATCCCATTGCTTATCTTCCTAGGAACAAGCACCTCAGATATCGAACAAGAGTTTTTGCTGCAGAGTGAGTAGGCAATTGTGTTCCTGGTGTATCATGACGTTAGCTTATTCCTCACTCTAACCGACTTTGGTTTTATGCTCCCCTCTTTGTTTCCTCTCACTGCAACTCTGTTGTATGCCATTTGTAAGCATTTTCCTTTGACATCATCTTGATCTTCCTTCTTCCCCACAACCCACCCTTCAAACTCGTATAATCAGCCAACAGAGTTTTTATGGACAATTATAAAACAATAAAACAATTATGTAAGGATAATGAAATGTCAAAAACAGTGACAGCAAATCATTAATGCCAAACAAGCAGTGGGAATGAAACAAAAGGAATATGGCAGGCATCTATCTTCTACATTTGTGGTGTCCAACATTACTTCACACTATTAAATGCTATTTAGATAGTATTAAGTCTTTACACTCAGTGCCCGCCTGTATGTCTTCTCTTTAATGAAATTTGTTCTACCTTTGTTAAGATTCCACAAATTTTAAATGTTATTTGGCTGTTTCTTGTTATTATCTTAGGCCTTTGTATTTCTCGTCTAGATAGATGTATAACTATACTATTCTTCCGAAAAAGAAGCACACAGAGGAATGCATTATGCTGCAACTGAAATGAGGCTAAAGGTCAACAACCCCAATGCAGTTAACTAATCCAGTAAAGATTTTCTTGATAAGGTCACTTGGAAAGCTTGTAGCAAAGTGATATGGGTGCAATTTGTGCTTAGTCCAAATAAGTATTCATCGAAATAGCATTTCGGAACTGTTTCTGCTCATTCACTCATGAGAGTATCAAGATCTAGGATTGGTGTGTTAATGCGATTGCATACCATGTGCTCCAGATCCATAAGCTTATCTGTTGTCCAAATTACGATGAAAACAGAATCCCCTCATAATTCCATTTTATGAGCCGTCCCAACTCATTCTTCTCTTTCTCGTTGCTTCTCATTTTATTATCTTTCACTGTGAGAATCTTTTCCTATATATTAGTGCATATCTTTTCTCCAAATTACTTTGTCTTGTCAAGAAAATGGTTCTGCTTGTTATATAAAAAAAAATTCCACGTGTTAGTCTCTGATATAATGTATCCATCTGAATAATTTTCTCTGGCTTTTAGGTGTTTGAGTCATCTTCCTGCAGCAGTTGGAAAGAATCCAGCCCATTTTGATGTAGCGTTGGCAAGAAAGCAGCCTGCCAGTGGACCAACTTCTGGAGACTGGCTGGTTCTTCAATTGCAAGAACTCGTTTCACTTGCTTATCAGGTGCTAAAATTCGAAATCAACACCTTGTTGCACTAATGCTATTAAAATCAGCTTTAGTGTGCGAAATAAATTAATTCTCTCCCATCACTTCTTACAGATCAGCACAATTCAGTTTGAAAACATGCGGCCAGTTGGTGTGACCCTACTGAGTACTATTATTGACAAGGTACTGCTTCAATGTTCATTCAACTATTCGGTTGGACTTAATCAATTATGGCCATTCAAATGGTATACCATTATCTTTTAGACATCAGCCTATACTTTGACGTCTAATTTAATGATTTGTAAGTCCATATTAGATATTAGACTGCAATCAAGGTGCAGTTGGTCTGCCTTTGCATTTGATTTAGCTACTACACCTTGAGTTTTACTATTTCAAGATATTAGCTTTCCTCTTATTAGACACAATACACTGAAGTGGGCCATAATTGTCTAAAGGGGATCTCGCTCAGTATGTATGTCCTCTATCCTCGTATAATAGACCTTATCCTGGTGAACCTTTCATATAACTTAGTTTGTAAACTACTACTGCATTCCAATGACTGTCACACAGAGCTTGGTCGTGTGATCATAAGGTCATTGAGCTTGCCAACCAGTCTCCAATAATGACCTTGCACATTTTTACATCTTTGGTTATTGCTGCTCATTTTAGTCCCACGTATAATTGGCGTCAAGATTATTATGGCCTTTCTTACATTGTCTTTGTTGAGTTTCATTTTTAGTTTCTCATGCTTATCATGTGTTGTCAATGCTATTACTATAAATTTCAGTTTGGAACATTGGACCCTGAGCTTCCTGGACACCTTCTACTGGAACAGTATCAGGTAAGTCCTTGGATCATTCTTTCAGTTTATTCTATTAAGCAGCTTGTATACTTCCTAAATGTCTTGAATAATCCCAGTTTAAAGGCATAATCCAAATTGATGCAAAATCCTTACTGATATTAGCTCAACTAAGCTAGTTATGTTACTTCTATTCAGGCCCAATTGGTGTCTGCAGTTCGAACTGCACTGGACTCATCTTCCGGCCCTGTCCTATTGGAAGCAGGCTTGCAGCTGGCCACAAAGGTTATAGAATGCTGCCATGCATCTAGTAGTGTAAATTGATTGCTGTAAGCTTTAAACGGAATCACGTGTGGAAATTGCAGATATTGACATGTAAAATTGTTAGTCGGGATCAACTTGCCGTTAAGCGGATATTTTCATTGATTTCACGGCCTCTAAATGAATTCAATGACCTTTACTATCCGTCCTTTGCAGAATGGGTCTCATGCAAGGTTGGTTGCTTCCTGTCCAGAGGAAAATTAGGATAGGCATATTTCCTTACACTGTTTTCTCCTATCTAAGCTATTTCTCGATGTTGTCTTTCCAGATCAAAGTGAGACTCCTTACAGCACATGCATCTCTGAAATGTTACACCTTTGCGTTCTTGAAAAATCAACAGAAGGAGATTTCTGATGAATATTTAGCTTTATTGCCTCTTTTCTCAGAGAGTTCAAAAATTCTTGGAATTTACTGGCTCTGTCTTCTGAAGGACTACAGCTATATCAGGACTCAGTCATTTCCTAAAGAAAATGTGAGCTCATAGTTTGATACATGTTTCTCTCTTTAATAGCTATAGCTTCTTTCACTTCTAAGGGAATGGAACACTAAGTAGTTGTTGCACTCTCTCTGCTAATTCTGGCAATTTTTTCCATGTTCCAATATGTACTACATGCAGTGGAAACCATTTCTTGATGGAATTCAGTCAACGCTAGTTTCAACTAAATTGCTAGCATGTCTGGAAGAAGCTTGGCCCCTGATCCTGCAAGCCGTGGCATTGGATGCGGTTCCTTTGAACACATATATAGAACGATCCTCAGAAACTGAAAATCAATCTGTTACGGACTTAATTTCTGGGTACAGCATGGTTGAGTTAGGTTCAGAAGAGTTTCGATTTTTGTGGGGCTTTGCCCTTCTTCTTCTATTTCAGGGGCAAGATTCGGTTCTTGGTGAATCTAGGCTACCTATTGGTTCTGTCAATGCCATATTATGTGGTGGCGGTGTTGGTGAAGAAGTAAAGTCGACTTCTTTGAAGTTGTGTGAAGTTGTTTTGCCTGTGTTTCAAGTTCTGTCAGCGGAGAGATTTTTTAGCGTAGGATTTCTCACTGTGGTTTCCTGTCAAGAACTGCTGCAGGTACTTTCAATGTCTTGTTGTTCCTGCTAAGTCACTCCAAAGTAATTTGGTTGTCTGTTCTGTATTTGCATTATGGATATCATAACCCTTTCTTTTTTTCTTGGGTGTGCATTTTAAGGTTCTCCAGACATATCATATGGGCAATCAACTATGCAGAACCTCACAGAGATTGTAATTATTGTCACTGAAAAATTGGTTTCTTCTTTGGAGAATATCCATGCTGTGGTTCTTCATTTTTTACATTCCAATTTTGAACCTTTATTATCATCAAACAAAAGGCTTTTGGCATGCTTGTCATATATGTTTCTTTCTTCTTCTGCGCATAGGCCTCTGACAATTTTTTCCATATAAAGATCTCTAATGAAGTTAATGTGAACTTCTGTAATTGAATCTTGATATTTTCTTACATGTGGCTTTCTGCAAATTGCTTTTATTGATACTTTGGCATCTGACATGATGAAAAGACCACCTTAAGATACTGAATGCTGGCTTTATCAAAAAAAGATACTCCACGCAGGTTAAAGCCCATCGCCGACTCATACTTGGTTATGGAACCACCAGAGCTTTACCTGTTTAAAACAAAAAAAAGAAAAGAAAATGGAGCCACCAGAACTCTCATTTGGAGTTCCTATTACCCATCATTATGAAGCTAGAGAGTATGCATTACTGTTGCTTATTGTATTTGAGCATGTCATAACTTTGTCCAGAAAGCCCAAAAGTTCTCTTGGTAATGTCCCAATTATGACGTTAGAGGTTGAGGACACAGTTTCTTTGCTGAGATCGAGTCCCTTCTTTCCAAGTTCATAGGACTGGGCGTTCAAGAGTGCTATTTACTGTGTTGACACTGACAGTTCAGTTAAACTAGCTTGGTTTTTGAGTTGACGTATCAGGAAGGAAAATAGGCGTATGTTTTAAACTTCTAGTTGGTTAGTCTTTCCCGTTAAAACTTTTAGGAAGGAAGGAGAAAGTATTTAACATATTAACTTTTTCCGATTTCTACCCTAGTTGCTTGTCAAGCTTTCTTGTATGCGAATATCCTCCTTCATTTCCTTCTTCTAGTCCTTTTCTGATGCAGTTTTTGAGAGGCTGTGCAGGGAGGTGCTAGCTGAAATTTTTAGTGAAAAAGGAAAAAGGAAATTAACGGATTAACTTTTTGGTTTCTACACTAGTAGCCCAGGAGATGACATAGTGCTGATTGACGAGACGCGAGGCGGGGTTAACACTAAGCTGGAGGCTTGGAGATAGACTCTGGAGTCTAAAGGTTTCAAGTTGAGTAGGACAAAAACAAAATACTTGGAGTGCAAGTTCAGTGATGGATGCATGAAGCCGAAGTGGAAGTGAAACTTGATACACAAGTCATCCCCAAGAGAGATAGTTTCAAATATCTTGAGTCTGGAATCCAAGGCAACAGGGAGATTGACGAGGATGTTACACATTGTATTGGAGCGGGGTGGTTGAAATGGAGGCTCGCTTCTGGTGTTTTATGCGATAAAAATGTTCCACCAAGACTTAAGGGTAAGTTCTACAGAGTGGTGGTTAGACTGACCATGTTGTATGGGGCTAAGTGTTGGTCAGTCAAGAGATCTCATGTCCAGAAGATGAAAGTAGCAGAAATAGGGATGTTGAGATGGATGTGTGGGCATATCAGGAGAGATAGGATTAGGAATGAAGTTATTAGGGACAAGGTGAGAGTGCTACCTGTGGAGGACAAGTTGTGGGAATCGAGGTTGAGATGGTTCGGGCATGTGAAGAGGAGAGACATAGATTGCCCGGCTAGGAGGTGTGAGAGGTTGACCATGAGGTCTGAGGAAGGGTAGAGGTAGGCCGAAGAAGTATTGGGGAGAGGTAATTAGGCAGGACATGATATTGCTTCAGTTTACCGAGGAGATGACCCTTGATAGTAAGGTGTAGAGGCCGAGTATTAGGGTTGCAAGTTGACAGGTAGTCGAGATTTTCTCCTAGTTTTACCAGTAGTATTAGTACTATTCTTGTATTTTCTTATTCTTAGATCTTTATTATTACTCGTTGCGTCGTTCGCTTCCGTTATCTTATTACCTTGTTGTTGCTATAGTGTTTTGCTTCTTTTTCATTATTCTTTGAGCCGAGGGTCTATCGGAAACAACCTCTCTTCCTCACAAGGTAGGGATAAGGTTTGCGTACACATTACCCTCCCCAGACCCCACTTGTGGGATGACACTGGGTTTATTATTGTTATTGTTGTACACTAGTTGCCCTGGAGGTTTCTTCTAGGATGTCAATGTCTTCCTTCATTTCTTTTTTCTTGTCTTATTTTAATGCATTTTTTGCGAGGAGGTGCAGTAAGTTTTCAGTTAGATATTCTCATTTGACATGCCTCTCGTGAAGTCTAATCAAAGTAATAATTGAAATGGATGCAGGTTTGCTTTTTCTCCATATTTGTTGAAGATACATGGGACAATCTTGCAATCTCTATTTTATCACAGGTGACATCCCATTTCATGTCATGATCATGCTATTACTTTCAGGATGTATCTAATGAAGGGTCCTTATTACACGTCAAGGTCCTTCTTTATATTGAAATGCAAGATGGCTTACCAATCTTAAGTGAAATTGATATGAACCCTGGTTCTATGTATGTTGTTGTAAACTTTGCATTACTTATGATTTCCTTTTATGCACGACCTTTTATTGTCAAATAATATCTTTGTGTAACCTAAAGGACCTGATACTGGTAAGTTCTTTATGGCTTAATTTCAATGTATTTTCTTATAGTTATGCAGGCACATAATTGAATTTCTTATCTATATGTGCATAACAGCCCCATAAAGGATCTGTCTTTGAACTTCTTGTTTCTTTTTCATTGGTTTGGTAGATTGTGCAGAACTGCCCCACAGATTTCCTGAAGACGGAAAGTTTTGTGTATTTAGTATCAGAACTTTATTTGGCGCTTCTTTTTAAATCCTTCACTAGGTACCGCTTCTTTTCAGTGAAGTCAAATTACCATATACATGAAACAGTAACAAAAAGTAGTTTTGAACTAACTTGCGTTGTCTTTGTCAGTGCAACGTCTCAATACCATTCAAGTCAGGACGATATTGTTTCTGTCTTACTTACCACAGCACCGACACTTTTAAAACGTTATGAGCCAAAGGTGGGTGTCATGTCTTACAGACAGTTCCTTTTTGTCTCTAGTTAATATTTTAATGATTCTACTGCTTCCATTGCATCCCAATTTTTCATCTGACGAGAATTGAGCAATTCTTTTTTTACGGTTTTCGTGCAGATGGGTTTGAAATCAATTTTGGCTTTTCTTTTGGTTGGTTATAAGTGCATTCAAAGGGCTTCAACTGAATTTTCTCTCTCAAGAATTCATGATTTTGTCCGGTGTCTAACTTCTTTGATGAAATCATATGTTACTGGTAAGCAATTCTCATAATGAACATTCAGGTCCTTGTTCTTTTGATTATTAGGTTGTAAAAGAAAGCTTTTGAGCTTGGATTTCTTTAGAATCTTGTTCAGTCTAGTAATCATAATTAACTCATTCCCCAATGTATGGAGTCGGTTAATTTCATGTTTGTGTTTCATTTGCGCATGTAAAAATCAGTCAAATATTTCATGATCCCAAATTAGCGGGCGTCAGCTACACGAATCCTCTATATCCATTTCACTCTATTCGGGTTCATTTCAATCCAGCAGTAAATAATTTGTCTGTTAATGCAAATTAGGGGTTCTCGAAACTAGAGCTTTTTCAAATCTCGCACTTACTCCTACAGAAAGATATGTCTGTAAGAGTATAATAGATTCTTGAAAAATAACGAACTTAATGTAAGTGTAACACAACTACCTTTTAATCTCAATTAGTTGGTGCTGTCTACATATGTCCTTTGCTTTTACGTCTCTAAGAGAATAAAAGATTCTTGACAAATACCGGACTTAATGTAAGTGTAACAACTAATTCTGAATCTCAATTAGTTGGTGTTGTCTATATAGATCCTTTGCTTCCATTGTGTTTTCTGGTCCTGCTTGTCTTTCAAAATCTGTCTGCAAATTATTCTAAAGTTAAACATTTCTATGGATGTGGCAAGTGATATGAAGAACTTTGTGTTCAGAGAGTTCACTTAGTTAGATGTGAGCTTGTATTTCCTTTTGTGGAATATATTTATGGTTTTCCTGAAAGAATCTGACAAACCTTGACCTGAAGTATTAAGAGGCATGGTTGCAATGCATTTAACACTTGACGTTCTAACGTTCTAGGGGAATTTTATGGTTTTCCATTGATTTCTGAAGAACCCTTTAATCACAAAAGTTAGGAGGATCAAGTTTTGCAACAGTTTTCTGTGCATTGCCCTGCATGTATTTGTAGAGTGTGTCGACACCATGCATAAAAGAGAGCATGTCTGAGAATATTTTGTGTATATTCTAAGAGGAGATTCTTTTATCAAAGTTCCATGCAAGCTATGTTGCTCGGAGTCGGGTGTGGGTATCCGATAAAGTTATTGAACTAAAACTAATAAAATTTAATTCTTTATAAATGCCCAATATTTTATTTATAAGATATTCTCACGTAATAGTAAAGCATTCTCATACTTTATATATATATATATATATCAAACTAAATACCCAATCAATCTATACTTCTCGGTCACAGATGCAGTCAAAGCACACAAGGTAAGTTGACCAAATCTGGTGTGGATCCCACACCTGCGCAGGGATTTTGAAGAGTCCGCACAACACAGCCTGCAAGCTCTCTTATTTGGGCCTTGGTCATACTTCTCTTTGGTTTCCACTGCCAATGAACAAACTGTTGTACTATAATTATCAATCGTCCTTCACACTATTTGATTCTTTAAACACAAGAAATGAAGTATTTTGTATTTTGGACCCAAATAGTGATTCTTGGGAACAACATCTACATTTCAGCCCCAACCAAGTTGGGGAAAGTGATTCTTGGAAACATGAAGAAAAATGTATTCTTGATCCATATGGTGAGCTCCAGGTTCAATTCCATAATCTAGAGAAAGTGCAGTGTGTCCATTTATTAATTTCCAATCTTAAATTGTCCACAGTAACATATTTATTTTACTTGACTGATGGTTATTTGCTCTAACTACAGATATCTCTGAACTTGGAAATGATAGCATTGGGCACTTGACGACAATAGCAAGAACTTGTCTGACTGCGAGTGTTATTTTTGCTGAGAACTGCACTAAAGGAATTCATCAGCTTGAGAAGAATAAGAGCTCCCACTTACATAAACTGCTGCTGCTGAAGCTTGCTCTCTCTCTTGAACAGACTACTTCATTTACTAAACTAGCATTTGAAATTCAACTTCTCGAAGAAAACGAAGGATGTAAACCAATATTATATGTCATGATATGCCATGCAACTCGATGCTTCAGGAGTGCTCTTACTAATTCTGACATTCAAGTAAGCAATTTTTATTGCAAATGATGATTTTGTTAACTGGTTAGCGAACATAATTTTTCAACTGCAGGTCCAAGCAATTGGGTTGCAAATATTGAAAGGCATGCTAACAAGACAAACCAATTCAGAGTTTAACTCATTCCTTGTGTTCTTTGTTGGGGAACTTGTTGAAGACCTTGGATCTGTAATCCAGAAACTTTTTAAGGTAGCCAAAGTGTTCAGTTTTGCTTATTTCCCACTTGTACGAGTTCCATTCTTGTTGTTGGCGCCAGGGGCTGGGGGGAGCCGGTGACTTGAATTTCACACAGTTACAGAACCTGATGTTTCTCTTGATGACAGACACCTATGAACAGGGAAGTGGTGGCTATTGCTGGGGAGTGTTTGAAAATTTTGATGCTTCTTCAGACACTCTCAAGAACTAATGAGTGTCAGAAATGCCTAATGAATCTGTTTTTGGAAGCTGTTCTCCTTTTTACAACATCAGAGAATTCTTCTCAGGTTCTATCATATATGAAGCTTATGTTTTGCTTCATCTGCCTTCACAGTCTGATTGATCTTGTTTACATTGTAGGAAGCACGTGATTTGAAGATCACGGCTATAAAATTAGTTGCACAACTGGCTCAACTCCCTGGCTCATCTGCTTATATCAAGGAGGTCTTACTGACAATGCCCATTACAAGAAAGCAACAACTGCAGGTGATAACTTTATTAAAAATAGGAGAAATACGCACTCTTTCTTGATGATCTCTAATTCTTATGTTTTAGTGGTATTAACCTTTTTATTTGCTATTCTTTTGCAAGATCTCTTCTTTTTTGGTAATGTTACTACATAACGCATACATCTCCTCAATTAAATGTTATCATATTTCAAATGTTTTTTGTGGACAAATCCTCCCATCATGGTTTAAATTGGTTGTGTCAAATACATTTGAAACTTGAAATTTTTGAAATTTAGAAAGAATTCATTTATATCTGAAAGAGCGTATGATGTTTCAAAACGGAAGTGTGGCCCATAGATTTTCACAAAAGAGGTGCTTATGTAGTAATGCAGCCCTTTCCCTTCTTTTGAGATTTTGACTGCCTAGGAAATCAGGCATTAATAGTTTGAGCTGAGAGTTTTTCTGCTTTCTCTAATGTTAGAAGTCTGGCAGTTAACTATGGTTCCGAAGGGCATGTGTTAAGTGGTTCAGCATCAGTAAGAGTTTTGGTTAACAGAAACCAAAAAGAGATTCTCAGTCTATTGAATGTTATGCTTACAGGATATAATACGTGCTTCTGTAATGCAAGACCAGAACCAAATACAAGTCAATTCCACAGGACCATCTTTAAGTATCAAGTTGCCTGCAAAAATAGAGGAAAGTAGAGAAGAGGAAACTACTGTTTCAGCTGCTTGTAGAGAAGAGGTTGAGGACAAGTCTGAGGAAGAGGAAGACGATGATTGGGATACTTTTCAGTCTTTTCCTTCTACTAATGAAGACGGCCCAACTAAAACCGACTTTCAGGATTCTCACTCAATTGAGAGCACAAATTCAGATGGTGGCCTCAAGGGAGACTCTATTTCTGTACCTCATAACGAGGTAGAAGAAGCTACTGTTACAATTTCAGATGGTGGCTTTAAGGGAAATTCAATGTCTATACCTCAGAATGAGATAGAAGAAATGACTGCTGAAAATCAAATTGCTAGTGACAATAACACTCTGTCAGTCAATGCCGATAGCAACAACCAGACACAGGAGCTTACTGGTTCCCAAGATGGCTTCCATGACGGGGTGTTATCTGATACTCACCATATGGAGAAGGATATAACAGCATTAAGCCACGATGATGTGCTCTTGCCTGGACGTCAGTCTGAGGTAGGAGAATGCCCTGAAACATGTGAAAACCTGGAGGGCCAAAAGAGAACAGTTAGCAATTTGTCTTCTGAACTCGGGGAACATGCTGAAGTTGTAAAAGCACATGATTCCTCTTATGAGGATCATCAGAGAAGTACACCGGAATCTAGTGAAACAAATGAAGGTGCTTTGCCTGATCTTCATCCTGCTGAAATGGAAAAGGAGTGTTGCATGCCACTTGATGATTGTCATGAGGACGTAAAAGAACAAACTACATGCGATGATCACCACGAGGAGAAGGATGTGAAGGACATAACCAGAGTCAAGGATCACCATGAGGAGAGGAAAGCAGAAAACGAAGACCAACGTTGTAATATAGATTTGTCTGAGCTGTCTCCTAAAAATGTAGAAGGTAAAACACAAGTCGGCCTTGACGAAAAATGATTAGCACATCCTATTGCCTCCATAAGTCTGTATATTGAAGTTAAAATACTGGGACACCACAATTAGGAAAGGTCACTATAATAGGTTTATGTATGGTCAGTATTATTTTTTGACGTGTTTGGCAAGTTCTATTGAAGTTTGAAGTTCTGTTTTTGTAATGCGTGAGGTTAAGGTTCTTTCATTATAAAGATATTATTTTCCAGGAATGTACTTAACAATGATATCTATTGTGTATGAGGTAATGATTTTGCTAAATATAGATAGAGGTGCAGCTTAAGCTTAGAGCGCAGGGCATTCACTCGTTTGATATAGCCATGTTTTGAACGTAGGTTGTGTTATTGAATTGTGATAACACAAGTCAATTATCTCGAGCATATTTAAGGTAAATTTTTAACTTATCTTCATAATATCACCAAATCTCTTGTATAACTTTAGACTCAAATAAGCCCTTGAACCATAAATGAGTAAATAGCCATGACTTTTCCGTTTGACTTTTAAAAAATGGAAGAAGACTACAATATGCTTGAAGTTTGGGGTGATGAACTCCTTTACCCATTATTTGCTTAAGAAATTTAATAAAAACTCAAATTCTTCTGAGGTCCTAACTCTCTTTTGGAAGTAGTGAGCTTTTAAGCTTTAAAAGCTTTAATTGGTACTTGTTTAATATTTAGGTGTGAGAGTTTTCTAAAATTATGCCATACATACAATAGAAGAAAAGCTAAAACTTATATCGTGGTAATGTTGGCAAGAGAATACTGAAATGACTCTACTATTAAGAGAAAATTACTAGAAGGCAACAAAAAGATTCAAAACACACAACTTTATATGAGTTAAAAATTTTGGCTCCAAAGTTTCAAGTTTATAAATTACGGAAAAGGTCTAGATACGCCAGTAAACTATACGAAATTGAACACATTTGCCCGTCGTTAAAATGTGGACTCAGTCATGCCCTTACCGTGTATAAGTTGGGTTACATATGCCTTTTTTTAATAGACCTCACTAATAAAATATTTAGCACCGGATTTTGACACATGTCATAATTTGGTGCATTCTATCTATACCCTGATTTTAAATAATAAACCACCCGACCCATCACACTTATTTTATTAAACCCGACCCGACCCTGTATTCTTTTTTAATAAACCCCAATCTTATTTTATTTACCCACTCTCTCATCTCGCTTTCTTCTCCCAATTTCTCCTCTCACCATAGCTGGTCTGTTAGGGTTTTTCCCAAATCGTTGACCCAATTTCAGAATTACTTAGGGTTTAGTCTTTAAGTTCCAACAACTTTGGTCCTTTATTTTTTTTCGGATGACCCAATTTCGGATGATTCATGATCAATTTGAAAGAATAACTTTTGTTTCAAAAGCTTAAGCGAAAAGAGTTGACCGGAGTTTGATTTTTGTGTAAATGACTTTGGAATGGATTTTTGATGATTCTGATAGCTCTGTATGATGATTTTAGACTTAGTAGCACGATCGGATGTTGATTTGGAGGTCCGTAGGTCGTTTCGACGTAAATTGGCGAAAGTTGGAAAATAAAATTTGAAAGTTTGATCGGGAGTTGACTTTATCGATATCAGGGTCGGAATCCAATTTCGGATGTTGGAATAGGTCCGTAATTTTATTTTATGACTTGCTTGTAAAATTTGAAGTCAATCGGAGTTGTTTTGATATAAATCGGCATTGATTTCGAAATTTGAAAGTTCATAGTTCATATTCTTGAATTTGGGTTGCGATTCGTAGGATCGAGGTAGTTTAGATGTTGTTATGTGTGATTTGAGGCTTCGATTAAGTCTGTATTATATTATAGGACTTGTTGGTATATTCGAACGGGGTCCCGAGTGGCTCGAGTGAGTTTCGGGGTGGTTTCGGACCATTTCTAGGCCATTTTTAGTTGTTGGTTTTTAGCTACAATAGTGTGAATTGCAATCGCGGGGAATTGGCCGCGATCACGAAGAGTAAAATGGGAAATATTGGCCTGTGAATCGCGCGATCGCGGAAGGCTTTTCGCGATCGCATAGAGGAAATATTTTGCTGCACAGGGTTGACTTTGGAAACTTATATCTCGCAATCTATAAGGAATTGGGAGATGATCAAAACATGAAAGTTGTAGCCCTTGATGTATAGTATTCAAAAAGTCAAACCATATATCATTTAGAATTTTGTACAAAAATGTTATGACCATTATACTAGAGGATGTCGGAGAAGAGTATGGAAATAGCTGTTGAGGAATTTGTTTATCGCGAACGCGAGGGGAGGGTCGCGAACGCGAAGAACAAACCCCTGGGCAGCAGAATAAAGTCAAAAAATGAGACTTCATCTCATTCTTCCATTTTTGGATGAAGAAAGCTCAAGTGAGGCAATTTTTCGTGAGTTTTTCAAGGAACACATTGGGGTAAGAATTCCTAACTCAATTTTTGTTAAAATACATGAATCATGAAATTAGTGAATTTGGTAGAAATTTTTTATACCTTAAATTGAGGACTTGGAGGTCGATTCGTTATCGCAATTTAATAAAATTGGTATGGTTGAACTCGTATCAGAATGGGTGTTCGGATTTCGTGAAAATTCTGTCGGGTTCCGAGAGGCGAACCCCGCGTTGACTTTCGGGTTGACTTTATTATGTTAAATTTTAAGTCGAAGTTATATTATCCAGAATTATTTTCAATAAATTTTAATGAAGTTATGTAAATAACTTGGCTAGATTTGAGCCGTCCGGAGTTCATTTCACGCAAGAAGGTTATTTTGGAATATCGGCCTAACTTCAAAAAGGTAAGTATCCTGCCTAACCTTGAGTGGGGGAATTACCCCTTACGCATTGAGTCGTATGTACCATTTGTATAATGTGAAAGCCGTGTACGCGAGGTGACGAGTACGTACTCGAACTTATATGTGCAAATTTTATTGGTTTAAAGTCGTAGGCATTTTTAAGTATTAAATTTGAAATTGCTGGCACTTATTAATCCTTATTTGTCATGTTTCGTTCTTTGTTTGTCGAATTTGTTTTATATGATAATTTGGTATGATTGCTACTTTGATTTTTATGTGAATTTCGTGTACTTGTTGAGTTGACATTTCCTGGAATTAATTACATTATGGATTTTTCATCTGTAAATAATTAATTGAATAAGTTTAAGAGGCATTAATATATTTATCAAAAATTTGGATTAAAGAAAGCGTTGTTCTTGCTGAGTTACTTTTCTATCCTTGTTATTGTTTTTGAGATTTTATATACATTATGTTGAGTCGTGGGATATCTGTTGTGAAATTAATTGATTCCGTTGTATCTTTGGAAAGGTTGTGGCCTACGGGCAATTTTTAAATACGAGTTGATTACGTTGTGTTGTTGTGATAATATTCTGTGTGAATTTTTGTGTGATTTGGGTTACTGTTATACGTCGTATAAGGGTGGCATCCCACTGTTGATATTATGCGGGCATAAGGGTGGCATTTCACTGTTGTTATATGTGTTGAAATATTATCCGGGCGGAGTGATAAGGGAGGCTATTAAATGGATAGATAAGGGAGGCTATTATAGGAGTGATAAGGGTGGCTATAAGAGCGATAAGGGTGGCTATTGATATTGTCAGGGCGAAGGGATAAGGGAGGCTATTATAGGAGTGATAAGGGTGGCTATTGATATTATCAGGGGTAGGGATAAATGAGGCTATTATAGGAGTGATAATGGTGGCTATATGAGAGATAATGGTGGCTATTGTCAAGAATGTTATGTGATGACGTGGGGCTATTGTGCTGGTGATTTTCACGTAATGTTGTGCTTTTTTTGTGATTACTTTTATATCTTATGCAAGTTGTTTTGTTAATTCAGTAAATTTGATAATAGTCTGATACATGTTGAAATTGTGAGCATGTGGCTATTGTCGGGCGGAATATGTTATTGGCACGTGAGTTGTCCGTGCGGTTGTGATATGAAATGTAGGCACGAGATGCCGTGGGTATATAATGATTATGATATTTTCACGTGAGTTGTTCGTGCAGTTGTGAAATGAGACGTGGGGCACAAGTTGCCGTGAGTAAATGATAATTTTATTATTGGCACGTGAGTTGTCTGTGCGGATCTTATATATTAATATTTTGGCACGTGAGTTATCCGTGCGGTTGTGATATAAATATGGGCACGAGGTGCCGTGGAAATATGAAAGTGGGCTGAGACCCGTGTTACGAAAATATGAAAGTGGAGTGAGACCTATGCTTTATGATTATGAAATGAGGTGTCACGGAGTGACTTTATTTTAAAGAATTTTATTCGAAAGATATTTATTTGAAAGAATTATATTCGAAAGATATTTATTTGAAAGAAGTATATTCGAAAGATATTTATCTGAAAGAATTATATGTGAAAGATTTATATTTGAAGGACTTGATTAATTATTTGTACTTGTGTTCCTTATTCGTTTGAGCAATAATTATGGTGTTCTTATTGCCTTATTGTTTATATCACTGGTTGATTTTTGTTGCTATCATTGCTAGTTATTTTCTAGTACTATTGTATACTGCTATATTGCACAGGTTATTTGACTAGTGAGTGTCTTGACGTACCTCATCACTACTCTACCGAGGTTAGTCTTGATACTTACTGGGTACCGACTATGGTGTACTCATACTACACTACTGCATATTTTTGTGCAGAGTCAGGTATTGGAGATATCAGACTCGGGCAGAGTTAGTGTGTTGATCGTAAGGATTCAAGGTAGAGCTGTTTGTCGTCGCAGTCCCTTGGAGTCTTTCCATCTTATTGTACTGTCAACTCTTATTCGAACAGTATTATATATGATCCTTGAGATCATTGCATGTATTCAGTTAGGGTTCGTGACTCAGTATTACCAGTCTTGGGAGGTGGTTATATTTGTTTTCCGCATTTGGTTTCGACACTTGTATTAAATTATCTATTTAAAAAAATGGTTCGAAATGTAATTGTAATCAGCTTACCTAGTCTTAGAGACTAAGTACCATCACAACGCCTGTGGTGAAATTTTGGGTCGTGATAATAATGTAATAGGTCTTTAGCAGCAGCACCATCATCAGATATCTCACCCAGCTTGGTAAGTTGATCATTGAAATCTTCTTCATAAGTGCTCCAAGCACTCCACCATAAAAGTTTCTCCATCTGTCCACTTCTCCATTTTTCTATCAATTAGCTTCAATATGTCTCACACAAAAACTGTGGTGAGCATTAGGAAGTACATTCTTCACAGCATCAAGTAAACCCTATTGACAAAAGAAACATAAATGTG